TTGGTGTTATTGGTGTTATTGGTGTTATTGGTGTTATTGGTGTTATTGGTGTTATTGGTGTTATTGGTGTTATTGGTGTTATTGGTGTTATTGGTCTCCATGGTCTCAGTGGTGATTTGGTTGTGATGCATCATATCACGCTGATGGTGAAGAGACCCAGGCGGGACGAAGACAGACCAGACCAACACAGACCAGGCCGGACCAATCAACTTGGGAAGGATACATCGCCTCGACCACGGTACGGTTGAGTATAGCGTAGGCTAGTTCTATGGCAAGTGGAGGTACTGGTGTCTGTGTAGGAGTAGGTGCAGGTGTAGGTACTGGTGTAGGTACTGGTGTAGGTGCAGGTGGCCGACTGACCGGATGTGAGCACCGAGCAGATAGATCCTCCACGCATCACTTCAGCATCATATCGGTCAGTATCAGCGGGTATAGGATCAGACAGGGTGATCCGCATTTCTGCTCGTCGAGGCATTCCAGGTCGTGGTGACCATCCGATGCGGCGCAGCATCTCACTTTGCTGTGCGTGACGGCCCTGGCGACGATGGAGATGCCGCCGAAGTACTGTACCTTTACAGTGTTATGATATCCAGATGTTGCTTCCATGTCACCACGCTGCGCCATCGTCACACTGCGGCATCGTCGCATTGCGCCATACAGGAATCATAACATTGTAGCAGCAACTCCTCACAGGAGGGGCCCACCTTGCGACTGTACTGCCCTAGTCAAGTCAAGTTCGCCATGTCCTCCATGATGCCCTCCATGACGGAGTGGTACAGTTGATGCTGCGCCTCCGCGGTGGTTTGGTCGAAGAGTAAATACCCATGCAGCAGGGCGGTCAAGTTGCGCTGTTTGTCGACATCCCACATCTTGATCAGGTTGACGTGCCTCACCACGGCCCACGACCGAGGGTGTACCTGTGACGACTTTTCATCTCGCAGCAAGAACCAGCACAGCATCATGGGCGCGCCGGAGCGATCGAGCAAATGACGACGCAAGCGCTCCTCCAAATGCTGCAGCTCCGCCGCGATTTCGACGGCAGACCTCGCGTGCTCGAGGAAGATGGATAGTACCCAGAGAACGCAGAACACGCGGGGTATGGAGACGAGGTTCTTCCTCGTCGGATCGCGAAAGGCCTGGAGACGCGCGAGGTCGACGGTTCCGAAGACGAGGCGGTGAAGCGGCGACTGGGCCTCGAAGAAGGCACTCTGGGACTGGAAGAGGGAAGGGCTGGATCGCGAAAGCCAGTGCAGGTCGGACAGGAAGTGCCAAGTCTCGTGATACGAGGACAACAGCCAAGACAGTGGTGGTGTCGGTTGTGCTGCTAGTGTGCCGGACGTTGGGTGAGAGGTCACGGTCATGGTCACGCTGTTGCGGTCGTTGCGGTCGCTACGGAAGGGGATCTTGAAATTTCCCCTGTTGAGGATGATGGACCTGTCAGTCGTTTAGCCAGTGGTGGACGGACGTCTGATTCGGGATTCAGGTAAATACCATGCCAGCATGCATTGCACCTCCGGGGTCAGCGTCGAGATGCCCCCTTTCCGCTTCACCATCAGTTCGAGGCCGTTGACATGAGCCTGTAAAGCGTCGGTCGCTGTCAAAGTTGACTAGAGCCTCTCTTAATTAGTTCGCCTGAAAAGCCTTCCAAAGCATGATGAGCGCCTGTACTGTACCTCGAATGCCCAAAGTAGGATGACAGCGTAGATGGTGCCTTCACAGGTGCTGACACTCCCGTTCAGGCGACCACTGATCATCCGCACGCATTCGACCTTGTGGTAGTTCGCTTCTGGGGACAAGGTGGCGCCCTGGGTGTTCGCCTGAATGGATGCGAACAGGGCCAAGGCGGCATGGAAGGCAGCTGCGTCCTTCATCGCCATCTGGATGGTGGTCACGATAGCATTGGGCGGAGATCTTTCAGGCTGGATGTCGAACATGGTGGCGGCAGCAACATTGACGGCTGATCACGCTGCATGTCAGATGGATACAAAGTAAGAGCAACAAACGACTCGACACGACCTTGGGCTGACACACCGAAATCAAAGAGCTCGTCGGAGCGAAGGGAATGTTTCGACACAGGGTGAGTCCGGAAGGGATCGCGTTTGCTGGCATCAACCGAAGACTGTGGGCCGGACTTGGTTGTCTGGACATGGTGTGACTGCTCAGACGATGTTTGACATGCCTCCGTGTCCTCGTCACCCCAGTCGGACACGTCTGCGTAGTAGTTACTCAGCCACCCATGGACAAAGACAGTGGGACAGGTGCACCCACGGTAGATGGCAGTCCAGGCATGGCGAGGTTTCTTCTGTGCATCTGGAGTTCTGCGCGCGACCTCCAAGCTGCTGGGCTTGATGGTCGACTTGCGATGCGAGACAGTGGCTGCGTGAGACCGGGCTCTGGCCTGCTGCTCGTACTTTGCTGCCAGTGGTGCTCGGGTTGGTAGAGATTCGACAAAAAGAAATCGACGGTCCATCGCATCCAGCCAATACCTGGCGCATCATTCAGCTGGTCTCGGGAACACGATCGACAGGAGATACGCGGGCAAAGACAATGGAGGCCGACATGAGCTGATGAATGTCGGGCGGAGCGGACAGCTTGGGAGGAAGCTTGGTATACGACAGTGCGTACCATCCATGTGGTTTGGGATTTCTGAGCGACTACAGTATCTAGTTCGCCAGGCTTCGGGGATTAGAATAATCCTGGCGACAGGTCTAGGAATCGCTTAAAGGTGGCCGCCCAGAAGGAGCCGCTGCCGACGGATTGGGTCAGGCTTCGGGGCAATCAGCGTTGAGCATCTCAACTTTACGCCTCCGCGAGTCCAAACGACGGATGAGGTCATTGAAGACTTGATCCTGTATGGCTCGATCGAACAGGTCCAAAGCCACCGCGTGAAGGGATCCGCTGAGTCAGGCACGGAGAGCGACATGATGAGTGATCTCTTAGTGACACAGAACCGGCTTGAACCAGGGATGCAGCGCAATCAGCTGCCCTTTCGCCATCAGACACCGTGTATATACCCAGTTTGCCGCCTTGAGATGCTCATAGCCTTGTATGCCCTTAGTAGATTCCTCGGGAAATTATGCCCTATATGTCCCCCCTATCCACCCATAGTGGTCCTTGTCATGTGTAGGCGCTGCGCTGTCTTATCTTCGGCCCGTATCGGTATAGCACCCAAGGAATTGGTAGCAGAGCGACAGTGACAAAGCCGAGTAGACTCGTAGCCCAGGCTACGCCCATGCCACGGTACCTGGAAACCGCTGTTAGCAGATGCTCTTCTTTGAGAATATCAGCGCATATGATCGAGGAACAGCTCACATCTGCACTGTAAAAAGCGGGAAAACCCCGCCGACACAGTATCTCAAGAACCCGTTGGCTGCCGCAGCGCTCGCACCCGCCAGAGGCCCGTACGTATCAATCAGATACAACACGCAAGACCCAAACACAAGCATATTTCCAATCGCGAACGGGATTGTAGCCAACACCGGCGATATCCAATGAATGCCGCTCCTTGCTGTCCAGGCAAACCAGAACAGTCCAATAGGCAAGAGAAAGGACCCGATCATCGCACAGTAAAGTCGTTCTTCGGGCGGTAGCGGCGAGAAGTCGCCCCGGATCTGCCTTTTCAACGTCTTCTTCTTGTAGGTCAAGTTGTTGATCAGGATGAACATCATCGTTGCGACTGCCACACCGAGTCCCAGGGCCAGGAAGACTAGACCCTCCTCACCGGCATTGAAGTGGTAGATTTGACTCTCCGGGAAGGGCGATTCGAAGACAATGGGGAATGCTGCGAAGAACCCGAACAAGATGCTGAAGTTGAAGGCGGTGTAGATGCTGAAGAAGGCGACAATGGATTCAGTGAACAACATCCTCATCGGTCTCATCAGCGTCACGATCAAGACGAATCGAAACTTGGACATCCCCGGCGGCAGCGGATTTGGAGGAGGTGAAAGTCCAAGTTTCTTCGCCCGGTTTTGCAAGATGATCTTCTTGTACGTCTCTTTCTGTGGCAGTGAAACAGCATAGGCAAGGACGCCCCAGAAGAGGATCAGCCATTGCGTCCATCGCCATCCCTTCTTCATGGCGACATAGCCACCTATGGCCGGTCCTTTACGACACATGTCAGTCGTGAAACTCGGCGCATCGATGTCTCTGGGGGCTTACCCAAGGCCGGGCCCAAGAATGGTGCCGCCAGGAACAGCGCACTTGCGATCGCCCTATGCAAAGGCACAAACAGATCTCCATTGGTCCCTGCTCCGACCGCAAGACATCCAGAGCCGAGAACACCGGCGAAAAGACGGCAAACGACAAGGGAGGCATACGACTTCGACAGGCCAGCGCCCAAGGTCATCAGAAGTGAGGGCGGGAAAAATATCAAATATACAGCACGCCGTCCATAACTCTCCGAGAGCGGAGCGCTCACGACAGGGCCGAGACCCAGTCCCAGAACATAGACCGTGAGCGGGACAAGGGCAGCGGTTTGACTGACGCGAAAATGCTGAGAGACTTCATGCACACCTGGGACACCGTCAGAAACCGGAAAGACGAGAACTCGGCTGGACTGCTGTTACTGGGCGTGTATACAGAGGAACCGAAAGTGCTATTTCTATTGTCAGCCTCTTTCAGACGTACTCGCTCCCCTCGACCACGTACATGGTGAAGCATTGCAAGGCTGGAACCAGAACGTGGTATATCTTCGAAGCTAACGACCAATTCCGCGGATCACCTGGGTCATCCTTGTCAGGGCCTTGTTGGGAAATGATGAAGTGAGTCTTGTTTCATACCCGGATCGTCTTCGCCGTCCCAGTCCTGCGCCGTTTGAGGCACATAGCCAGATCCCGCACTTCTGGTCGTTCTATGGGAATGCTTGGTGCTCAATTTTTCGAGGTCCTGGTGTGTGGCTGTCGGAGGGCCAGGAACTGATTCGAGTGAGGACCTGTCGGGATCGAGCTCCGTCATGTTTTCGGTCTCGACGGTAGAGTCGCAGTGGTCTGCCATGGAGGCACGGTCAAATTCCTTGAGTAGAAGCTCTTAAGACAAAGCACCCCGGGGTATCTCTCTTAGGCGGAGCAGAATTTCGGGAAACGGCCTCGGGGCACTTCGACTGCCATCAGACTATATATCGCAAGGAACGCCACAGCCAGTCACGGGAAAGCCTGGGCAGCGCTGGTTCTTGAGGCAGGCTGTTCCGCCGCAGAGTCACGCCTTACGGAGACAAGCTTGCTCAGCAGCTCCACAGAGGCTCTTCCTTCGTACTGAAATCTGTGAAAGAATGCCCATTTCCCAACAATTCCAACAACCGAGAGTGAAAGAAGTGGAAGGAGGACCCCATGACGGCGACCCCAGAACGAGAGACAATATCTGGTTACTGAACATCCCGCGATTTGCGGAGGAGTTGCCTCGGAGAACGAGCTTGAGAGGGTGTCGGCAGTGACGTCCCCATCAGCAGAAAGGCGCAAGATGAATAAGGAGACGTTGAAACGGCATGACACGGCCACCAGAAATGAATATCAAGTTTCCACGGTGCTCATATCATTGGTGCACATGCCGTGGCTGCTTTGCCCAGCTCTTGGCCGTGGCCATTCGAGCCTGGCGATACACGATCAGTAATCTCGAATAGTTTGGAGGACCTGGGCGCACAGAGCTCATCGGATATGGTGCCGATCTGAGCGGCCACGGGCTGCACATCGCACCATGAAGGTATGAGGTATTCAAGACGGTGGGAGGAGAGACAGAGAGGAGGACGTGAGACGGGAATAGGGAGGACACCTTTAAAGACTCCTGGAAGTAGTCAGCGCAGTCTGATATTGGGATGCTCACCGGAAGGAGCAACGGGTGGAGAATTGAACAGCAAATCATAGACGTGTTCGAGCCAGGCGGATCATGATGTGGAAGGTCTCGCGAATGCTGATATAAGCCCGCCTTATCGAGTCTAGTGCCTCTAGGCCGCACTCTGGATATCGTCCTCCGTAGAACCGAGCACTTTTGACCCTCAGGACAGAGCTGCTCATCGGGCCTCCTCATAAAAACCAGGCAGTGGAATTGACGGATAAGCATAACTTCATTAACCGACGATCATCCATAGTATTGCATCGTCTCGTGGGTGGTTGAATCGGCGCGTGGCCTTTTGTCAATCACTCCAACCTCAGTTGATAATCAACGTCCCATCACTAGCAGACTTGTGCCACCCTTGGACACGCAGACGCCCCTGCTCGTAATAAGACCAGGCCATAAGCATACCTACTGACTACCCTGTTTGTTTCGTATCTCGTTTCTGTGTTTGATCTTTTTCTGGCGACAGACCCAGCAAGTCCCAGTCCGTCCGCCATGTCCACCCTGTGACTTGGAGTTTAAGCTTCGCCTCAAGTCACAGTCTTTTGGTGGCTTAACGGATCTAGGTCTTCGGTGCCTTCGTACTCTTCGCGTCTCATGATGCCCTCTACCGGTCCAAGTAGGCGCTTGAATCCATCTCTGCCGAGCTTGGCAACGGTGACATTATCCTTCGCAATCACGCTCGCAGCTCGAGGCTTGTCATCCAACAGAGCGAGTTCACCAAAGAAGTCGCCTCGGCCGTATTCTTTGACAGCGTGGTCCACTCCATGTTTGTATGCCACCGCATGGCCTGACTCCAGAAGGTAGAAGGCGTCGCCTGGCTCGCCCTCGGTGATGATGTTCTGACCCGGTTCGAACTTGACAGTCTCCAACGCGTCGGCGATCTTGGCTCGTTCGTACGGTTTGAGGGACGAGAGCAACGGTACTTCTCCGAGGAAACCTTCGTACATTTCTCTTTTCTGGAAGGCGTTGTTCATAAGGATTCGCCGGAATGTGACACGATCCAAGGCCCACAGCAGACCACCTTTGGATGCACTGACAACTGTAGCAGCACGAGGAGCGTTGTACATCAGAGCGAGTTCACCAAAGCTCCCACCAGGTCCAATCGTAGCAACTTTATTTCCCATCCCATCAGGGCCAGCTTCGACGGCTCCGCTTGGGTTGATATAGATATCGAAGTCGCCCGACTCGATCACGTAGAAGAAATCGCCTTCGTCACCCTGTGTGATGACCTTGATGTTCGGCGCGGGGATGCTTTTCTCTACGAGTGCGTCGAGCACCAAGTTGAAGGAGTCCTCATCCAGGCTGGAAAACAAAAAGTTACCCGACACAGCGGCTCTGAGTCTCTCGAGTTGCTCAGCCGTCTTGGAGTGCTTGGGGGGTTTCCAGTTGCCTGAATCGGAATCTGGTTGCATCGATTCGGCGGAGACAGAGGTTCGGCGGCCGGCAGCATAATTATTTGGCAGTGGTTGGGCTTGCTGTGAGGTGTCCTCAGTGGCCTGATTGCCTAACCAGTTGCCAAACAAGCTGCCACCAGCAGCACCGCCGGCCGCGGCGCCAAAGCCAGAGCCCCCAAAAGGTGAACGACCCGAGTCGCGGTTCTTGAAGGTGGCATCGGTAGGGGACCCAAAGGTATCACGTTCTTCTTCTTCCTCTTGTATGCTGTTCTTTGCTGCGAAAGGGCTGCGGTTGTCGAACGGGCCAGCAGTGTCTGCCATCTTGCCGTTCGTGCTCAAGTTCGAGGGCGACTTGGCTGATTTGTGGGAAGCCCGCTCGAATTCGAGCTGACGGTTGAAGTAATTCGCACAATACTGGAGAGGGTCTTCCGGTTTGGCTTGTTGCAAGTCTTTAACCAGGGTATCGATGATAGCTTGGTGAGAAGCAGGAAGAGATGCAGACATTGGCGATGAGGTTCGAGAGGCGGGGAGGTTGCAGTGGGTGGGTATGAGACCCCAGACGGGAGCTGCTTGTCGTTGGCTTAAACTCAAGTGAGGATATCTTGTGGACTGACCCGACTGGATTTCTTCTGGTGCTTAGAGGAATAGGAGAGGACCCTCTCCACTAGGGTGTCCTGTCACTGATGTGGTCCGTGAGACTGGTGGACCACAGACCGCGGCTTGCAGCTTGCGGATTGCGGTTGCGACGAAGGAGACAGGGATGGGCAAGGGCGAAATGCCGTATCAGGGAAGGTAGTGTCTGTCCGTGATGCTTCTGTTCACTGTCAATTGACGAGTGAAACTCTCGCAGGGGACCAAACGCACCAGAGAGCTTTCCGGGCTTCCTCCTGCAGTGCGAACCAGGGCTGTCCAAGCACTGGTGGACTCTTCGAGCCGTGAGGTGGGGCAATGAGCGAGTCTGAATCGCAGATGACGCAGCGGAGGGGCAGCCGAGGACCGATGCAAGACGCCAGGTGTGTTCTGATTACCGACAGAGATTGGGTGGCAAGCGAGTAGCAAGGGCGCAGACACACGGGCAAACCCAGCTGATATAAACAAGACCAGACCGAGAGGAGGGGAAGCAGCAACCGTTGAACAGGCGAGGGGTAAGCAGGACAGCGCGAAAGACTATGTTATGGATTGACACGAGCTTTCTGGAATGTTGATTGCATCAGGGCGAATCCGCACGCTTTGTACGAGCAAGACAGCTGATGGCTCTTCACCGATGCAGGGCACATCTCGAAAACAGGGCAAGAATAACCCAAAGGAGCGTGCAATTAGCGGGGAAAGAGCTTCGACGTACCAGAAGCTCGCAGCACCAAAGCACCAAGCTGGTGAAGCCACCAAAGCGTCTGGCCTGCTGACGTAGTTCAAGCGGTCAACTGCACGCACCGCACGCCCAATGCACTGATTGGGTATGACGCTGCATTGCGCGTGCAGCGCTCGGACGCCCTCTGGCTTCTGGCGCTTCTAGAAAACGACGAGAACATTTCCTGTATCGTGAGAGCATCACCCATGCCGGCACCAACCCGTCTGCTGTATTAATTATCTCCCGGTACAAGCACAACTCAGTGGGGATATCTACAAGAGAAAAACAGGATCCAAACCCACCATGCGCCATACAAGCGATGCACCTGGAGCACTGCGATCCAGCATCAACCCCTCCTCATAGCTCTGCGTCCCGGCCACCGTCATACACAAGCTGAAAGCATTGAGACCTTCTCATGAAGAGCACCTGCGTTCCACCCGGCCCAACAAGTGCGCGGCGTCGAACAAGACATCATGCAGGGACTGGCTCCCTGGCCACGTTCTGCTCTATCACTTTACCCTTTCCACGTCTCCCCAAACACCGACATGCAGCCGCCTTTGAGAACTAGTCAAAGATCTTCTTAAAGAACGAGCTGACCCTGTGCTTTTTCTTCTTATCCTTGGCCGACCCCGGGGTGCTGGAGGGGGTGGTGGACGCGGGTTTCTTTGCGGGTGTTGAAGTTGCGCTGCTCGTCGGAGCAGTCGTTGTAGCAGGGGCTGCCGCCTTAGTCTCTTCCTCCTTGGCCGCTGGTGCAGCAGCGGCCGCCTCTTTCGGAGGCTCAGTTGTGGTAGCCTCGTGGGCAGCCGCCGCCTCGGTTGATGGGACGGTGGTTTGTTCCGTGTCATTCTTGATCCCAAGTTGTACTGCAGGCTCATCTAGCAGCGTGGGGTCCTCTGCACCATCAGAGACTGCCGCAGCAGCAGAGTTGGAAACTCCTGGAGCAGCAGAAGGTGCGTGAGGCGGGGCATACTCGGTGTTGTCGCCCTCTGTCTTCTCGGGTACGACCGTGGTCTTAGGTGCTTCGCTTGGCTCAGCGCTTCCGTCAGTGCCGTCAGCCACTGCGGCGGCGGCGGTAGGTAACTGTCCAGGCGCGGGAGTGCTTGATGTCTCTCCAGTCGGAGCTGGCGCAGTGGCAGAAGTGGCTGCAGCAACCGTAGGCGCAGGCTCTCCAGCTTCGTCATGCTCCGGCACTTTCTTCAGTAGCTCCTGTTCTACCTCAGACTTCTCTTTTACGGCTTCGGCAGATGTGGCAGCTTCAGGATCAGCGTGTGCCTCGGCGATTGACTCCTTCACTTTCTCGGGGACGCCGGATGCTGGAGCTGCGGCGGCGGCGGCGGCGGTGGCCGCAATGTTCGGTGCATGTTCTCCAGCTGCTTCATTTTCAGGCACTTTCTTCAGTAATTCTTGTTCGACTTCGGCCTTCTCTTTCACAGCTTCCGATGAAGTGGTAGCCTCCGGCTCGGCATGCGCCTCCGCAATCGACTCCTTGACTGTTTCGGGGACTGCGGGCGTTGTTGCTTGAGCTTTGGTGTCTTCTAAAGGCACCTTGGCGGCCAAGTCGGCAGCAGTCGTGCTCGGGCCAGAAGAGCTGATAAATGGACTGGCATCCAGCGATTTGTCTGCGTTCTCGCCCATGGGGAGAGACGACTCCGGGATCAGGTTTTCCTTCTTGGCTGCCGTGCCACCCAGTCCTAGTGCAGCCAATGCACCCCCAAGTATGCCCGCGCCCCCCTTCTCGTAGGCTTCTTGTGAGGTAGTTACAGCGGAGTGGATAGTGTTGGAAGTGACCTCACTCAAAGGAGGAATCTTCTCCCCTGCCGGTACATTGACGGGATTGCTTGCTCCCTCGCTTGGTGGCATAGGATTCACGCCAAAAGAGTCTGGTTCATTTGCTGGAGTCTCTGGGAATGCGCCGGGCGCACCGTGCAGGTGGGAGTCCGACGCCGGTGTCACTAAATCACTCACACTTAGTACCTTTTCTCGCGCTTATGGTAGGAATGCCTACCTTCAGTCGCCTCCTTCTTAGGCTCTAGAGGTACCCCACCAGCCAAGGCAGCGGTAGTGCTCTCTGGGGCTGCGCTGGAGGTGGTGAATGCCTCTGGCACGACCGACGCCTTGGGCTTGATCTGCTCTGGATGTAGGACATTGTTGATGTTGCCGTGACCGTCATCCTCCTGAGGAGCTTCTGGATCAATAATCCACTGGTCATTAACCACGAACTTGTACAGAATCTTCTCGTCGGCCTTTGGCAGCTCCACGTCCTTCTGCCAGATGTCGCCGACCTTATCTAGTTGCACGCTCTTGCCCCAGTCGTCGAAGGTGCCCGTAACATGGACGTCGTTGGCCTCTGGATGGGGCCTGTGGATGGGGATCAGCTACTGTTGCGGCACGAGCGCATGGACGCTCAGGGGCAGGACCCAGTGCGCACTGACGTACCATTTGAAGAGGAAGCTACCCATAATGCCAATGGTTTCAGAACGCACTGCAAAAGCACACAAGAACAGAAAATTGATGATGCGGGAGATGGTTAAAACAGGCAACAGGCGACCGCGACGCAGAAATGCTAGAGAAGCAGAACGAAGAGTTGTGGTACGGCAAGAATCACCTAATATGATGGCATGGGTGGAGTTGGCCTGCAACAAGGTGGGAGGCTGGGACGGTGCTACTGGCAGCTACTCTGGTCCTCACACGCACTACGAGTTACTGGAGGGCGTCTCCAGGGGCGGGTTTAGCCACCTAGCCCAGCTGCAAGTCACGGGCTTGACGGGCTCTGCAACGGCCGTGACGGCGTCATGCACGCCAATCAACGCCCCGCTAACACCGATTCCCCGTTGGAGTCCTCACTGCAGCAGTGAAGGTCATCCATAATTAACTCTTTCTCTCAGTGGCACCCGTCGCCGATTTTCTGTTTAGTGGCTTACGTCCTGCTCCGAGCGCGTCCAAATATCGCTGCTCGTACCTCCGATCGGGATGCGCCTCGTCAAGCGACATATCGACAATGACGGAAGTGGGAGCGTCACACTGTGTCCAGAAGAACCTGAGGACATGGTAAGTCGCACTTCTTCCAATATGTCGAAGGCATTCTGAGGAGTAAAACAGTGGCATGCTTACAACCTCATTCGTCCTGCAGACCTTCTTACCGCATCTGCGATACGGCGCGTGACCACCGAATCATCTTCGACTGGCTCTACCGCCTCGCAACGGGTACACACCAATCTAACAATACGAGTCAAGTCCACCGACTTCGATCCACAAGCCGGCCAACTCCATGTCTCCGGTCAGATCGCCCGGGAGAACAGATATACCAAAATCGGGCAATTCCATACTCTCGACCTAGAACTGAACCGCAATTTCACCCTCGAGAAGGAAGTCGAAGGTGACAATGGCGGCGAAGGCTGGGACAGTGTTGCACGTGCACAACTGGAAGAAGCCATCGACCAGACTCGAGGCACCGAAGCAGTGGCGGTAGTCATGCAGGAGGGCCTGGCCAATATATGTTTCATTACACAGTTTCAAACTGTCCTGAGACAAAAGGTCGAGGCCTCAGTACCGCGCAAACGTACGGGAGCTGGAAGGTCGGCCGACCATGACAAGGGATTGCAGAAGTTCTTTGGTACAGTGCTGGACACTTTAACACGACAGCTTCAAGGCCTGATGGAGAATAAAGACAGCAGCTCAAATTTCCCAATCCTGTTAGCAAGCCCTGGCTTTACGGCTGCCGGCTTCCTCAAACACATCACCGAGACCGCCTCTGCGAAGGGTGACAAATTGCTCCAAGACCTGGTGAAACGGAAAGCCTTCATTGTCATTCACAGCAGCTCAGGTCATCTGCACAGCCTGAATGAAGTGCTCAAAAGCCCCGAGGTTTTGGTGAGGCTGAAGGATACGAAATACGCCAGAGAGACCTCCTTAATGGACGACTTCTTTGCGCTCCTGCGGAAGGATGATGGGCGGGCTTGGTACGGTCCGAGAGAGGTCGAGACATGTGTCGACAAGGGCGCAGTAGGACGAGGAGGAGGTGTCCTCCTAATCAGCAATGCTCTCTTCCGCAGCCAAGATGTAGCTACGAGACGAAGATGGGTCAGGCTGGTCGACAGAGTGAGGGAAGTCGAAGGTGGAGAAGTCAGGGTGCTCAGTAGTGATCACGAAAGTGGAAAAAGATTGGAGGGGCTTGGAGGCATTGCTGCCATCTTGACGTTTCCCATTGACGATATTGAGTCAGATGGCGAAGATTCCGGGGAGGATAGAAGCGAAGAATCTTAGCTTCGTTTCAGACCTGAAAGTCCTCCGAATGTTCAGCCAGTACTCCGTAGTCAGTCTGATCACCAGCCAGGATGTTTGCTCAGTGAAGCTCTACTACGAGTTACGCAGGTGGGCAGTCTAATTATCTGGCTTGGAATGCGGAAGGTCTCCGCAGCACGTGATAGTGACGTTGACGTGTCTTATTTGTTGACGCGCTACACATCCGCGCGCGGTCAACCAGGATCAGGCTCGCTAAAACAATACGGTGCCTCAAGCCGGACGACTTCAATCCGTCTTCCCCCCTTCCTGAACCATGCCATGGCCCGCAAAGCCTCCTATGACCCTCAAGGAGGCCAAGCGGGCATACAAGCGAGATGGCGCCACTGTTCGATACACCGCGTCACAAATGGCCCGCGCCGACAGGATCGATGCCCGGGAAGAGAAGCGCAAGAAAGAACTAGAAAGGAACAGACAAAGAGTTGAGAACAAGCGCAAGCGGGAAGAGAAAGCGGAAAGAGAGCGCACAGTGAGGCAGAAGATGCTGGAGGAGGGCAGGATTAGCATTGAGGATACTTGGGGGAAAGTCACCGCAAGTCAACCTAGGTTGAACAGATTCTTTGGACAAAAGGCTGTTGCCGCTTCAGTGAAAGGCAAAGGCGACAAAGAGGATTCTGTCAGCGCGGATAAGGAGTCTGTTTTGACAGAGGAGACTGTCGCGAATGACATATCACAGGGACTTCGGGATGCTGTGCAGGAGGAAATACCAATAACCGTGTCGAGAGCTGCGCATGCTCCTCCACCCAGGACGACTGACCCGACTCTCACTTCTGCCGATAAAAGCCAACCCGTTCAAGCAAAACCGTCTTCTTTGGGTGATGACCGACCTCCAGGACTAAGAGTGCTCACTTCCTCACAAGCCAACGCCCGTTCATCAGCACCGGCAGGAACTGTCAACAAATCACACTGCGGACCACCACCGAGTTGTGCCGAGCTTCCACAAAGTAGCCTACCTGTTTCTTTGGGTTCGTCAGCGTCACCCAGAGATACAGGACAGTCCCTCCGTGCCTCGCCGTGGTCAGTTAGGCGTGATTCCGTCGCAGCGGGCTCTCCAGGCTCCCCAACGGAACTGCTTTTTGCGAAAGTAGGAATCGATGCGGGCAGGGAAAAGGTCGAGCGGAAACGACATAGGCTAGAGCGTTCCACGCCCGAACAAGAAGGGTTCAACAAAACCGTGACCGCACAAGTGCAACTTCCCCAGTCCAGTCTTGACGTGGAAGACGACGAAGATTTCACAGATGGTATCGACGACGAAACATTTCTCATGCTATGTGCGACACAAAAGCCCATCCAAATCGCTCCCTCAACGCCACCCCGTGAGCCTCCGACGTCCCCAACCTCGAGCGTCGACACGCGAATTTGTTCGTCCCCCAAGCAAGGCTGCAGGGTGGAACATGGAGCTAGGACAAGCAGAACTACACAAGCCACAATCAAGCCATCGAAAGAATTATCAGAAAGCTTCAACTCGGTTTTCAATGAGATCGAAGATGAAGATCTCCTTGCTCTGGCTGTAGAAGTCGAGGCTCAGCTGGCTACAACAAAACAAACATCCACAGAAGCACCAGCGGCAATGAGTGCAAAAGTTGAGCCTCCACCTTTAGCGCAGCAGCAGCCTCTGAGGTCACGCGGGACGCCGAAGCGACAATCTGCCGCTCCGCGTGGAAGAGCGAAAGTCACCAGACAAGAGGCTCCATCTCAAGAGACGACCGCAGGCGCGGCTCGGACGCCAACATCGCAAAATTTTGCAGAGGAGACAGCGAAGCTGAAAGTCAATGTGAATCTCTCGCGAGCATATACGACGCCCCGGATTCCAGGGGTCGCAGGATCCGGACCATCGGATTCTCAAGCAATAGAGTTGAGCGGCAGGGCAAGTTGGAAAAGTGCCCGAGCGACGGGCATGAATATCCGAGCTACAGACAGCAACCCTCGAGCTGCCGTTTCGAATCCGCGAGTGAATGGTTCAACTCCGAGCTCAGGAGATCCTAAAGCTCCTGGACATAACAAGAGTGTCTCACCTTCACGTCCGCGGGGATACTCTCCTAAACCATCTCCCACGCCTTCCCCTTGGCCTAAACCAGTGAAAAGACACCGCTACCCCTGGGATGTCAGTCCTACGGATGAATTTCCTGGGTTGGGTCCCTCAACGCAGACCTTGTCCTTGGAATTGCTCGCACAAGTGGAAGCCCAGATCAGGGACGAGGAGCGAAAGCTTCAAACACGGTGACGTGAAAGATCGAGCAGTGATACCCTTTAATTCAGAGTAACGGGTTCCCAATTCTCACGCCTTCGCCTTGCACTGCATCGCCGGCTATTTTGAGAGTGAGGAGACTGGATGTTCGACTCCCTTGGTCGCCCAGACATGATCAGCTTCGGTGTGCCAGCAATGACACATCAGCGGATCGACGACGACACGATTGCGTTGTGGTTTTCAAGATCAATATGGCATCGGCTTCAGCATCAGCATCAGCACTGGCATGGCACGGTAATGGGAGGAATCATTGCTGCATTGCCTGCAGGATACAGGCTCAGGTCACACGGTAGTGTAGCATCGGACATCTGGGTTTGGCATCTTGCATTTGTTTTCTGGTGGTCATTGTATGGCGTTGCATTGATGAATAGCATTGCATGCTGCTTTACGGCACACAAGGGTTGGATATTGCATGAATTAATGCTCATGAATTGACGTTTGAATACTCCATAGACAGCCACAGAACGAGCAGCATAAGCATTCAACTGCTTAGCTACACGTTACATTGACCGCAGAATGCGAAGTTAGTCCTGTACTGCATGATGGCTCACAGCCTTGACGCCACGGAGGCACGTACAAAGGCAGTCTCGGTGATCCCATGATAAACCAACCAGGAGCGTGGGAGCACTGTGATAGCTCGTGCCTACGGTGTTGTCAGCAGATTTCTGCATTAGGCTGGTAGAGAAGAGGGCGCCTCAGAAACCATGGCAACATCTGAGAGAAGTCGTAGCAGTGCGGACAAAATGAGCGAAGTCAGAGTTCCGTGTGGAGTTTTGCCTCGTGTTCTGATCTCAGTTGGAGAACTGCGTCGTGTGTGTACTCAGTATTGACTTGCTTCACTTTGGGACTTCTTGGTCGCCCAGTCTTTCGCAATGGCATTTCTCCTTGTGGCCACACGCGTGCAAGTCCTTCGAAGCACTGGAAAGCCTATGGTGATGATGATGACATGAAACCATGCATGTCCGCAAACACCACACGGTCTACCTCCGCCTGAAGCTGCGGTGAAAGATGTCCATCAGAGCCATCTTCTACAGCAAGTTTGACCCTCAAGAAGGCAAGCCATTACTCGATGTGATACTGAGACAACTTCTCATGAGTAGCCAGGGCCCAAGATCGTGCATCAGGTGCCCGAGGACTCGATCTCGACGACCAGCGACCTGTCTGCCTCCGTGATCGGCCCATCTCAGACCTCGTCGACCGCACCGCTGCTGTCCTTCTCGACCATCTCACGCTTCCTGATTCCTCGTCAGTCGCTTTGTGGCAATCTCATCTCCCTGTTACCACCGCCTCTCACCCCGAGCACGCCTCCGACGCTGGTCCTATCGTATCCTATCTGTTTAACCTCCCCGCAGTACCCACGCAATGAGTTCATCTTCAACTTCGCTCTTGTCCTGGGCGAGCCTTCCACTATCGACGTCCCCTCATACAAGTCGGTGGTGAAGAAGCTGGCACACCTCATGCGCAGTCTAGAAGAACAATCTCGGTTCTTGAGCGAGGACAATGCGCCTCCGAATTCTGGCAAGATCTACAGTTTGTGTGAGATGTTGATGGAAGACCTGAACAACTACTGCGAATGCATGATACCCATCGACGAGTTGAATACCCTGAACATCAAGCTCTTCCCAACTCTGCCGAATCCTGCTAGTGTCAAACCGTGGCACGTTCCGCTCTTCACGGTAAGAATCGAGACTATGGTAGATGAGAACTGGGATCTCACGATGCTTCGAATCATTCCGTTCGTCAATGGCGTGAACAGTGTCAAAAGGATCGCCATCATGGCAGACGCAGACCTGAAGCTTACGAAGAAGTGCGTGAAACATTTGCTCTACTATGGCTGTGTCCTCCTGCTTGACATATTCAGCTTCAACGCCATATACGCTCCAACGGCTGAATTTGCCAATATGATCGCCAAAGACACGGAAATGCAAAAGGAATGCGCCAGGTACGTTAACACAGCATTTACACCGGGCCCGCAGGAGGAAGCCATTATAGACAGTGCCGTCGAACGCCGGACAAGCGGCTTGACAAATGTGACCACCCTGCACGATGATGAGATCTGGCCCCTGACAGGCAAAGGCGACCCAATCGACGGAGTCACTATTGTCCAGCTCTTCGCCAATCTGCGCCAAGGGCTTACCATACGAGAATGGTATGCACAGAACGCCAATTTGCTCGCTAATATAGACCTACGGCGATTCGTGACTTTCGGGGTCATCAAGGGTTTTCTGTATCGCGTCCATCGATATGCCATCCACACGCCGAAAGCAGCGGCGGTCGTGGATGAGGGCGATGGGGAAGATTTGCAGTATCGAACCCTTACACGAAGCATGTCCAGTGAACATCACCTTACCGAACAATCGTCGTCAAGTACTAAGAAGAAACATCACGCGACTGGCAAGACCGGCAAGACCGGCTCAAACTTGAACGCTCAGATCATGCAGTACCTGGACGGGACTCATTGCTTTGACGAGATCTGCACGGAAATCGGATTCAGCGAACAGGATCTCGTGGAGAGACTGAAGCATAGAGAGATGGGCGAAGTCACCATCATCTGTAGATGAAGGCCACCATTCTGAGCAATCAAACGAACCGGACTATTCGGCCTGAACACCCAGCCAAACGAGTCCTCTCTCCTTTCAGATCCCAAGATTCAAGTCCGACCCTACTATTTTCGACTCGGGAGTGGCGAAGAGGCTGTTCGTCCTGGACATCACGACCAGTATCTCTGGATCTTGAAGCTGCCAATCATACTAACTCGAGAACATCCTTCAACACAGCCAGCGCGCCGAACAGCTCATTGTCGTGGTACTTTCTGGCATTGATTTGCAAATTGATTGGCGCCCTCTCGAAGTTTCCTTCCTCCCACAACTGTTTAACATGCCCACAAGCATCGCTCAGCGGCTTGTAACCCTCGGCATACTGCTCGCTCTTCTCTGCCTTGATCGGCGTCGGAATCACAATACCTGGATAATCCACAAAGTTGTACAAAGAAGTGTATGTCCAGTAAAACGCAGTATCGTGCTGCGAAGCGGGTCCCACAAAGCAGGGGCCGATCACGAAATCCACGTCCTGCGAGTTCCAGTACTGGGCGAATTTGATGCGGTATTCGTCCCGCTCACCACGCATGGTGCTTACGTCGAGGCCGGTGCGCATGCCGTGTACTTCGGCGTCCTTCCAGATCCAGGCGGAGAGGGGGTGGACTGGTTCGCCAGTTTCTTGGATGTGGTCAACAACAGCTTTGCCGCCTTCGGGCCAATACTGGAGGCGGATTTTGGACCATGCTTCAGCAGCATTGTATGGTGTAAAGTCCTTGATCTCGACGAGATCCTTATACTTGGGGTCCGAGAGTTTCTCTTTCGCCCAGGCGATGGCGCGTTTTACCGGTGGTTGAGGATCGATGAAGCCGTCATTGCTGATAATACCGATCTTCAGCGGCTTGGTAACGGGCGTTTCGAAACCTGTCCACTTCGTCGGCACCAGACGTGGGTCTTCGAGATGCGGTTTCGCTGCGAGGACACCTTTTGTCATGAGATCCATATCTCGAAGGCTGCGGCCCATCGGACCAATTGAGCACAACACATTAAGCTCGGCGGGAAACGGGGCAGCTATCATGTCTTTCATAGGCAATGTGTACGAGGTTGGTTTGAAGCCGTATATGCCGCAGAATGCCGCGGGGCCACGGATACTCCCTCCAATGTCGGTACCGACGCCCAACACGGAGCCCTTCATTGCAATCAAAGCTGCTTCTCCGCCAGTTGAGCCACCAGCAGAGAGCTGAATGTTGTGTGGGTTCAACACGCGGCCCCAGTGCGAGTCTGACTCCAAATGCATCAACGACTGCGGCTGGTTGGTTTTGCAGTAAAAGACTGCTCCCATCGAGCGCAGGATGCCAATAAACTGGCTGTCCTTCTCATCATGCTGGATACTGCCGAAGTAACCGTACGAAGAGTATGTGCCGGCGATGGGCATGTGGTCTTTAATGCTGACAGGTACGCCGTGCAACGGACCGATGGTCTTTCCGTTCTTCTCCAGATACTCATCGAGCTTCTTGGCTTGCTCGATCGCCTCGTCCATGAACCATTGCGTCAAGCAGCATGTAAGTTGATGAGCGATAATCGCCCGCTTGGCGAATGCTGTGACCACTTCGACCGCAGAATACTTCTTGCCAGCGATGGCCTCTGCGAGGCCTGTCGCGTCGTATCTCTCCGTGATCTCAATCTCCTGGGGCGTCAGGATGCCGAATTGGACTGGCAGCTCGGAGACGTCCTGAGGCGGGTTGTTGACCACCTCCTCCGGGATGTAGTATTCCTTGGGGACTTTATCGGCGAAAGCGCGAAGCAAAGCGGCGCGCTTCTCTTCGTACTCTGGTGTGCCTCGAGGCACGTCCTTTGGCTGTACTACCTTGAAGGGACGGACGACCATTTTGTCGATACTGCTTGGCTTTCGACCTGATCTGCGGGATGCTGGCTTGGATCCTATAGTTTGTATCACGCCTTAACGAGGATTGTCGTATTGCGAATGCCGATGCTCTGGAGCGATAGCACGGACGACGTCGAGGTGTCTTGCGAGCTTTTCAAGGTGTCCTCCGGCAATGCTTGGGTCTGGTAACCTCACTCATGCACGGCCCGAGTCGAGCCGTCATAGCAGTCGGCTGGGCTGTTCATCGTTGATCTCCGCAGCGCAAAAGCTGCCCTCTGGTCCACTGATACCCGAAGCGCTCGTATGGCTGGCAAAGCCTGTGACTGATAGGAATGTCCACTCCCCGTTACCGATGGGAGGGTTCTGGCTTGCAATAGACCGACCCCATCACGTCGAGGAAGGGGCTGGCAATGGAGTTTCCCCGCATTGCTCTAACAGAAGCAGACGATCGTTGTGGTGGCGTCTGCAATGAGCCAGTCACGTTCATTTGCGCGTGCGATGGTCGGCCGAGGGCGTGGGTGTTGGCGGCGACGCTGCGCACTTAGCTGATGCAGCTCAAGCTGTCTTTATCGCGAACCCGGAGTGTCTCCAGGACGACCATTCGTCCGACGCCGATTAGGCACAGCCGTTCAAAGCCCAGCGGAAAGCGAGCGATAAAGGAGCCCTTTATCAATACCCCGTCTAACCAATCGGAGCTTGTCTGCAAGGCGTGGCATTCACCTTTATCAGACTTCGTTACCTGTTCTGGGCAAGGCAAGCGTCGACGTCCTCCTTGTATCCAAACGTATCGAGTCGATGATATTTCCGCGCTCCATGTGGCGGATAGAAACGTGGCCCGAGGTGCGGTTCAAGCCCCTGGTAGACAAATCATCCAGCACTAGACCGGCATGGCCAACCTTGGAGAAGGAATCCCCGACTATCAGCCCTTGGTGGACATCTCCACTTTGTCGCAGGGGTAGTCGATGTGAAGCCTGACCAGGGTGAAGTTGATACTGGCAAGGCTAGGATGATCGGTCTAAAAGATGCCAAAATCTCATCTCCTGTTGCGAAGGGCATAAGTATCTCCCTGTTCCCTTGCTCCAGTTCGGCCTTCAGGGTATTTTCTATTGGAACCAGCATCTTAGACAGCCTTTGCTCTCAGTGAACATCATGACCATCACGACCGAGATGACGCCGGAGTCGATTCCCGGCACGGTGCATTTGGTCGACATGGACCATACCATGCGCACACGCCATGCAGACGCTGGTGCTGGTGATATTGTGCTCGTCCCTACCCCCTCGAACGACCCTAACGACCCCTTGAACTGGTCCCCGCGACGGAAGGTGCTCTCAACGACCTGCTCGAATCTGTAAGGAGCTTTTGCGGCCAGCATGGGCGAAGCTGACATGCCGCAGTTACACCTGGTTCACGGGTATGTCGGTATCGACTGTCTACTCCGTGCTCGTCCCTCTTTCGCAGGCGAGTGGCGTCTCTGTTTCGGCCCTAAATCAGGGGACTGGCTACATGTTCCTGTTCTTGGGCTGGGGATTGCTTTTCTGGCAACCGTTCGCTCTGCGCTACGGGGTACGCAATGCTCAATGATGACGATGGTATTTGTTCTGTTATCGACTAACGAATATTGCAGAAGCGCCTAGCCTATCTGATTTCTGTTCTTGGATCACTGGTGAGTATTCGAGGACGTCTCGCTGTGCGAATCGCCTTTACTGATTTGTTGTCAGGGTACCTGTATTTGGAGGTCAGTCACCCCATGGCGGTTGCAGTCACCTTGCCTGCTGTGACACTGACAAGACGTAGCGCCTATGTCACAAGCAATGGTGAATGGATCGCCAAATGCATTGTCCAAGGTTTCTTTAATGCGCCGATCGAGGCGCTTCCCGAAATCTCCGTCACCGATGTGGTATGTGCATTCTGAGCAATGCCGGAATCAATGCATGCTGAACTATCGGATAGTATTTTACGCATCAGCGCGGCACCTACATGGGCATCTACGCCTTTACGCTCGCCGGCAGCAACTACTTCACCCCTGTGCTTTGTGGTTTTATTGCTGATGGCCAGGGATGGCGCTGGGTCTTTTATTGGCCTGCGATCTTCCTTGCCTTTGTCTTTGTCTTCCTCTTCTTCTTCATGGAAGAAACGAATTACAGCAGGAAGACTGTTGGGCTGGTCGCAGAAATCGATACGCCGCCGTCGGAGCCTGCAATGGAGATAGACTCGGAGAAGAACCCGGCTGCCGTGCTTTCGACCCCAGCGACCGCGTATGCACCGCCAAAAACCTTTGTTCAAAAACTGTCAATCTGGAAACCTCAGCCCGGCCAGCCGATGATCCAGCGCGCGATCCGCAGCTTGAGCTACCTAGCGTGGCCGGTCATCTTCTATTCTGGCTTCTCCTACGGGTCTTATCTGATCTGGTTCAACGTCTTAAACGCCACGGCGTCAATCATCCTCGGTGGACCTCCTTACAACTTCTCGCCATCAATGGTCGGCCTCTCCTATCTTTCCTGTACTCTTGGCGTGATTCTCGGATGCCTTATTTCCGGCAGACTGAGCGACTGGCTGACCATCAAACTTGCCCGACGCAACAAGGGGATCATGGAAGCCGAACATCGTCTATGGCCATTCTTGCTTTGCGTCATTTTCGTTCCGGGTGCGCTCATCTTGTGGGGTGTGGGCGCAGCTCATGGTGTCCACTGGTTCGGCCTCATCTTCGCAATGGGCACGCTGGCATTTGCCACTACATTCGGCGTGACCCTTAGCATCAACTATATGATTGACAGCTATCACGAGATTTCGGGCGATGCGATGACCACTGTTATTCTCGTTCGGAACACCATGTCCTTTGCCATCAGTTATGGGTGAGAAACCAACCGTTCTGTTTGCTACGCGACACGTTTGACTGACTGGATTGTAGCATCACGCCCTGGTTGACGAACCTGGGCTACCAGAACTGCTTCATCTCTGCAGCGTTCGTCGGCATGGCGGCGTCGTCCGTCTTCTTCGTCATGATCATGTTTGGCAAGAGGTTCCGCGTGGGGAGTGCCGCGAAGTACTGGAGATTGGTCGCTGCGGACAAGGCAAAGTACGGTGAGCACTGACAGCAACAGGAGGGAATCAATTGTTGAAGGAGGCATGTATCGGCAAGACCTTAGTTATCACTGCCGCGCCAGATAGGAATATAAATCCAACCCGTCTTATTCCATGCGATGTGATCCATATGCCCTTGCGTATCCGGACGAGCTTTGTAGCCTGGAGGACGAGTAACTAGCGTGGCGGGACAGCGGCCGCAAGCAAGCTCCTTATCAATTGACCGAGCACAGAGTCCAATCATCAGTCATTAATCACGGCGATATGGGGAAGGGGGGATGGTGTCGGGTGAATCGAGGGCCCATTGTCCCCGCAATTGAGATACGTGGACCCATTCTTCCCTCCGACGAGTGCTTCCTCTTGTGACTTCCAGGACTACGAATCCATCTCAGCCGTTGCATATGCATTAGAGAGTAGGCAATTCGGCTGCCTTGAGGCGATCCGACTCGACTCGCTTATCTGGAACGACGGCGAAGGATCTACGATCCCATCAGCTTACGGGGACGGTACTGGCTTGTACGATTGGATCGTCTCGCTACGATAACACGGAGGCTTTACCATTCGACACTTCGTCTCAGGGCGACAATGAGTGGGCCGGCTCAACGTCCACGATTGCGCGCAAAGACCGGCTGCCTCACATGTAAGGGCCCTCTCTTGCTCAACGTCACAACGACTGTTGATAGTCGTGTATGCTCACGCGACTGCCGCCAGGCAAGAACAGGAGAAAGAAGTGCGACGAAGAACGTCCCGCTTGCCATCGTTGCCGGTATTCGGGATATGATTGCCAATGGCCAACGTCCGACGACCTGATCGATCGGCGCTACTCATCGCACCCAGCGCGTCGAAAGTCGACCTCGCCGGCACCTTTGAATGGTAGTGCCGATTCACACGACACACAGCGACTTTCCGTTCCCAGGAAGGACCAACACAGCTCCGGGTACAGCGACGGCGACAGCTTCACGACCAACGCAACGGTCTCACGGCATTCGGAAGCAGCGGCCCATCAGCTCTTGTGCCACGACATCGAATCCGTGCTCGCTCGCCACTTCGTGGACAGGTACTACACCCTGCTGCTGCTGCCGAGCTGCCATCCACAGTACTATCACGGGTGGATCAATGAGATCCAGGAACTCATGCTCCAGCACAAATGTCTCCGATCGTCCGTGCTGGCGTGCGCGGCCTCTCATTTACATTTTGTGGACGCGTCGCCGCAGATGCAGGAACTCTCGCTCACGTACTATTCCGAGGCGATCAGAGGACTTTCAGAGGTGCTTGCCAGGGCATCGCGGCTGGAGAACCACAACGGGCTGTTAATGTCGATCATGCTGCTCTATCTGCACGGGGTACGTCGCCGCGGGGCACCACCTGAATCCACCGTATTATGACGAACATGCTGACGCTCGAACCTGACGGCACAGTGCATGGGGCGAGGCACGTACAACGACATACCGCGCCATGTCAACGCCGCGATCCGCATATTGAAGCTCCGACTCATGGAGCGGCCTCTGAGCATCTCGCGGCCTTTTGACCGTCTCGCGGTGGAAAGCGTGTTATATCAGATCTTCCTAGTCACGATGGGGTCCTGGGCCGACTCCCCGAGGCGCGGATACCAGTTCGACGCGGGCTTCTGGCTGCGGGCCGAGAACTTGCTCGTCCAGTCGATGTTGTTCCCCAGCACCTCGATCTCGACCAACAGTCCCGTGCTGGGCGTGCCGATGGATCTGTTCAAGCTCGTCCTCTCGATCAAGCGGCTGTGGGAGAGTCCGTTTCGGCATGACGCGGAGACGCTGGACGAGCTGAGGACCGAGCTGGAGGAGTGGGAGAGAACCATCATCGTGGGTCCAAAATCTCCTCCACACGACCAGGGCGACAGTAACTACGAGATCTACAGGGATGCCACAGCTCTGTATGTCCTCGTTTCGTCGTTGCTGGTGCAGCAGTTGTGTGAAGACCCCGGACGCGAGGGGATCGGTCCTCCAGAGGCAGTCCCTCCGGATTGTTGGCAGATCGAAAAGGCGACGGAAATTCTGCGCAGCCACGAGCACAATCTCAACTGGGCGAGGTGCTACATCGGCAACTGGCCCGTCTATACGCTCGGTTTCTTCATGAGGAGGCCCGACGATATCCAGCTTGTCCGCGACGACATGCTCCGGAGGTGGCATCTGATGAGGTTTTCTCAGCTTGAACGGTTTCGAAATGATCTAGAAGCGACCTGGATTCAGCGGGAGGTTTTGTCCTGCGAAGCGTCGCAAGTGTAGCAAGAGTAGCCAGCATAGAAGTGTCGCAAGCAATAGCAAGCGGAGCGAAGCATATTCAACCAAATCTGCTCCGTGATTAGTTGTGATCTAATGAGAAAACGAACCCACCACACACTTCTGGAAAGTAGAAAGCAGTTCTTGTCGAGACCTTACCGTCTTGTCGAGGGGACCTTACTGTCTTGACATGCGAAGGGCAGGAGGAGTCTCCCTCCCCTGATAACTAATTATGTAGCTACCTGCCAATGTAGTCATTGGTGTACGGGCATCGGGGTACGGAGGCGGGAGTGAGCATCTCATGCCCTCAAGGCCCCGAAGCGTCAGGGATGTAATCAGCCCACCAATTACACAGTACGGGTACTCGGTACACTGCCCAGTGAGTCTGAAGTTGCCTGAGACTGTCGTGTGCGCGAGAACATCGCCCAAGGATACTGGTGATTGCATGAAGCGAGATGACCTGGTGTACCCATGTATTCGTCTACTGAAACACAACCCTGGATCTAATGCAAGTTGCAAGTGACGGCACCCTCTTTCGCACCCCACATGGGACTTACTGACCTATTTATGAGCGTCCACATGAGAAACTTGATATGGTTGTATTGGCTGTGTGAAGCCGGCGAGGAACCACATAGCATGTTTCGATAGACGACTTCATGGGTACACTATAGTAGTGTGTATCGCCCCTCCTTAGGCCTCGGTCCCGGCCCACAGCCTGCTCTAGGAATGATTTGGTTATATATGAAAAATCCACAAAGCTCCTCAATTTTGTGCTCGAAAATCACACAGATTTTCCGGACACACACACACAATACCTATCAAGGGAGGATGGCCGAGTGGTTTAAGGCGGCAGATTTAAGTCATTCATATCATACAAGACCTATTCTCTGCTTTCCGTTGGAAGCGTGGGTTCGAACCCCACTCCTCTCAGATTCGTTCTTTTTGTTTTTGGGGGGCTTTGGATAACGAAGGTGGGTGTGGCGGACGGGGTTTCGGAGATGTCCTGTACTCTGTACGGAGTACGTGTGAGCTCAAAGCGTGAGTCCATAACATTAGTGGACGCTGCGCCGCCTCGACAGTGTACTCCGGGCTCGGTGGGGAAGCGCGACAACCCAATGGACTACAATACGCTGCACCACAGATACCTAGGTAGTGCTGCGCTTGCACCCTGACAGCCGATGTCCTCTTTTCCTTATCGACGTGACTTTAATACTGCACCCTTGAGATGGACTGTCATAGACCAAACACATATATAGTAAACAATGCTCTACTTGTGACAAGACTACTATAGAAGTGCTGGCAATGGGCGCATACTGGTCAAAAGGGCCAGGCTTGGCGGAGGATGCTGCCAGGCCACTGTCTTTGCAAATCAGGGGAAATGCATGCAAGTATCGAAATCATTTGACCCGCACGGCCTATCGACATGTGAACAAAGAGCCATTCCTGAACCCAGGGGAAAGCCTACTTCGACTCTTTAAAAGGCCGCAGCGAGAAGTCTTCCAGAATGTATTGTCACAGTACTGTACCCGAGGTCGGAGCTGTGTGAACCACGGCCATCAGCCGACCTTTGATCCCGGCAAAGACATAGTGCCGACCTTGGCAATAGTCAGCATTGGAGCTTACTACTCTGACTTCCAGGTACCAAGGCATTCTCCATCGCTTTGTGCGAGCTAGTTCGAAGGCTGCTGATCTTCCTAGCTGAACAAGACCGTCGCTTTGTCCGGACGGGGCATTATCTCACGGCTCAGATTCTGCAGGACACACACGGCTATTGTATTGGCAACGAGAGGTTTTCGAGCTAGCGAGTCATGACAGAGCACCCTGCTCCACGAAGCGAAATATATGAGCTCCTTCACATTCGAGGCCCCGGAGCGTGGCACCAATGGATTTAAGCCAAGAAGCTGCGCCGTCCAGGCTGGGTAGTATACATGTATGATGCCTCCGTGGCATGCCTGCTGAATAACAGACCGTTTCTGAGCATCGGGGATATCAACCTCAATCTCCCCACGTCAGCGGAGCAATGCGCTGCGGAAACCGCACACGCGTCGGCAGCCCTTTATCCAACCAGAATGGACCCCCACGAACTTGTCCTTGCGCCCTACAATCCGAATACTCTTCGACGGGACATAATGTGCCGTGGAGAAGAGAAGATATCCGCCGCAGGACACCGCTTCCTTGTCATTCTCACCTTGGTCATCGACCGTGTTTGAAGCAGCCCGACAGAGGAAATCAGTCTTCTTAACGTGCCCGCCTCTGAATGCGAATGGATTGGCCTACTGGACACACAATGAAGCGTCTGCGCCGATGATAGGTAGAGCACTGTACCATTCCTACAGTCTATCCATGAAGTCGTCTAATGACATACGCCATGTTGTCCCCCGCCGCTCTACACAGCCAAACCAGGAATAAACAAAAGACGTCCACAAACGCCTAGGACATGGTACGAACAGGTTAGTAACTCTCTTATGGGCAAAGCAGGAATACCGCCGCTGATACTTTGCATTAGGTCGGCGCCAAGTTTCATTTGACCACTTCATGGAAAGACTCAGTAGTGGTGGTGGTGCTGAGGCGCCCGGCGCCCGGAGCCCGGAGCCCGAAGCGGTGGCTGGCCAATGAGACGCCGATGCGGGCATTAACGAATGGGGATTGATCTACGGCCTAGCTGCTTACAGAATAGCTTAAGACGAGCATCTCATTACCACGCCAGCATCCTCCACAGCACATTCGAGGCTTGAACTCCTCGTTGCTCTGGTAGTTCCACTTGCACGGCAGAACACGGTGCACTGGCTCCTATTCCTCCTCCACTGCCAATCACGCAGTCCCTCTAGTGTTTTAAAACTGTCCCATCATTGACTGCGCGAGTCGAATTGGTCTTTTGTAGTACGGACAAGCGGGCAACTTCAAGACGGCAAGGCTACGACTGACCGTTCTGGGCAGTTCTCGACCTACTGGGTAGAGTGCACTCTACGTCGTGATGACAGGTGAACACCATCTTGCAAGAAGATGCGCCGTGCCTCAAGCTTTTGCCGCGGCCTCTACGGACGTTGCGATGTCCATAGCGCTGCGCTGATCGGGATGTCGATCAGTCTTACTCCACTTGGTGACTGCTTGCTCTGGCGAAGGCTACCTAGGTAACTATCTCTGACGTCACCCCCTGTATCCGAGCAGGACTGGCCGCGACAAGAACCCCTGGTCGAGCTCGCCGGCACTATCGCACGGTTGCTTGTATAGCGGCTGGATGCGAATTGCACAATGGCTGCGGCGTCCTTCAGCCTCGAGCAAACTATTCACTGGCGTCTTCCACTACCTACCACTTGGCGCATTGTGGTCTGGTCATTGCTTCTCGTTCGGCTTTGACTCCTACTATACTAGCCCGAGTGAAATCGAATCATCGATGAACGACAGGGCTGAAGAAGCACTCGAGTTGCAACTTGTGCTGAAGCAATACGCGACGCCTGACCTGGCAGTGAAGACCATGCACGCATGCAATGAGCAGAAGTCTTCGAAGTGTAATGGCAATCTTTCAGAACTCGACTGCGCATACACCATACGATGCTTCATGGATTCGGGTTCAATGATTTGGAGGAACAGCAAGACTCACGGTTGCAGGGAAGTCAGCGTTGGGCCCTCATCCCCTGACTTCCTGTCATGGAGGTCTGGAGATCTCAGTGCCAACAGTTAACTATGCCTGGTTCCCCCCCCCTCCTTTTTAATTCGGACTATCAGTGCTGAGAGGACTAGGAATATCAGGGTCCAAGCTTCGATAGTGCTCTCGACCATGGTTCTAGACGAATCAGTCTGACTAGAGAGACGGCCATCATCTCCAGCATCATCGGGGTATTGCTGCTAGTTGTGACCGCAGCGGAAGACCATTGATCCTTATTAACGGGCTGTCAGGTTGGGCGCGCGTGATCCCTTTTGGAGACTTCCATGGGTGGCCTGCTATGTTCGAGGTTGGGGGCTAATCAAGCTTGCACCGGTGGACCGGGTGGTGGCGGCGCTCTGCTTGTTCGAGTTCTTGATATTGCTTCGGCGGCGATGTTTTGTCATCACCACGACGAACGCTCAGCAGTAGGGGGTGGCTTAGGAGTCAGGCAGCCGAAGCCGTCGGCCGGCGGAAATGAACAGACCACGAGGTGAGTAAGTGATGAAAGCATGATAGACAAGTTCCCTGGCGACGAAGTCGCAGAGGAAGGGGGAGCCATCTGGTGGAGATCCACCGCAGGAGATTTGGCTCGGCGTTTTGCCCATCTGATCAGTTCATTTACTCCTGGGGCATACCGAGCTCAAGTGAACAAGGTAGGGTGAGCTCAGCAGCAGAAGTCAAAACCGCTAAATATCTGACCCGCATGGCCCTTTGGCATATTTCTATCATCTTTGCCATGACGGCCGGTACGCTTTTGTGTATTTCCATCTTTGCAATGTCGGCCGGGAGATCGGTCTGAAGCCCATCACTCTTCCTTCCTATCCAGCAACGTCCTCGACATCCCTCGTCCCATCGATGGCAACGGTCCCCGCCTCCCTCTCCTTCGCGGTGTCGCCACCGCGCACCTCGACCTCGTCGGCAAACAATTTACTCAACGCCTTCATCGTGGTATTCCCGCCACTGAAGACGACCCCAACATCCCACACCTCCTTCTTCCCCTCGCTCTGCCGTTGGCGTTGGACCACCATATCCCTGAAATCGGCGTTGAACAACACAACAGCGAGTCCCACGCAGCCACTCGGCTCCACCACGACCTTCATCCTCTCATACACGAGCCGCATGGCCATCTTGATCTGCTCCTCCGTCACGGCATACAGACCCTCCACTTTGCGCTTGTCGCTGATGATCGACCAATTCGTGAGTCCGACGGGCGTGCGCAACCCGTCCGCAATAGTCAGCGTCTTGACGTGCTCGATGCGCTTGCCCTCCAAGAGGCCGCGTCGGCCGTCGTCGCCGCCCTGGAACGACGGTTCCGCCCCAAACACAAGCGTGCCGGGCTTGTCGGAGAAACAAGTGGCCGTGCCGCCTAGGAGACCGCCGCCGCCGAGCGGTGTGATGACGGCGTCGAATGCGGTCGCTGTCGCACTTGCGCCTGTAGCCGTCGCCTCGAGAAACTGCTCCTCCATCTCCAACCCCGCGGTGCCCTGGCCCAGGATGATATCCGGGTGATCGTACGGCGGGACGAGGATCGCGCCTTTCGCCCGCACGACGTCGGCGACCACGGCCTCGCGTTCCTGTGAGGTCGAGCCGCTGAAGATGACGTTGGGCGTGTATAATCTTGTGCCTGCGATTTTGGAGGCCGTGCTGATCGTGGGCATGACGATGTAGCTGGGGATGGAGAACGTGTGGGCCGCGAGGGCGAGGGCTTGGGCATGGTTTCCTTGTGACGGGGGTCAGTAAGTTTGAGGGAGGTAGTAGGTGAGTAGAAGCGAGAGGTAGGGTAGGTAAGTAGGCAGGTGATAGTGGGTAGGTAGGTAACAATGCAAGTAATACTTGGTGGGGAGCCAATTGACAAAGTCAGAAAAGAAGTCTCTGGACGGAATCTGAGAGTGACGCTGACCGAACGCCGTGACTCGCTACTCGCAAGCACACGTTGCAAACAGTGCTAAGGAGTAGAGATCACGACGCATGCCTCACACCTCACCTCACCTCAACCTCGCTTCAACCTCGTACCTCAGGCAATGCACATATCCAGACAAAACACGACCCTCGGAATCAAAAGTCGGAAGTCAGAAGTCAGAACTCACCACTACTGTGCGTAACGACACCGCGACGCCTCACCTCATCGAGACCCAACTCTTCCACCAGCCGCGTGACCGCGTGAAATGCCCCCCTCGCCTTGAAAGCCCCGATCTTCTGGAAGTTCTCGCATTTGAACCATAATCTGAACTTGGGGACGTTGGGGCCAGCAATATCGCCACTGGGTCCTGTTCCGGAACCAGAACCAGAACCAGAATCGGCGTCAGGCCCATGGGCGGATCGAAAGAACGAAGGTGGTGTGTCAGACAGGTATATCGTCGGGTCGGGCGATGACGCGATGGCGTCGAGTGATGTGCTGGTGAGGAGGGGTGTTTTGTGGATGTAGCGGTTTATTTTTTGATATGCGGAGCGGATGGACGAGGGCGTCAAAGGCGGGCAGGTCGATGGGTCGGCCATGGTTTAAAAGGCGTTATCGGATTGTAGGGTACCGTAGTAATCTCCTTGATCTCTCTGTGCTCCGTGATGCTCTCATTGATGTGCTTGGGGGTTTTGCCGTTCTGGCTTGCCCGCTTTGCCACAAGGCGTGGCTCTACACAGTGGCTCCACCAGCCAGGGAAGATGTCACGGACGCGTCTAATTGATAGGCTGTAGCGGAAGGGAGCGATACAGGATACAAATACGAGAAACACTCCTAGACAATCGGGGCGAGTATGACCGATGTGGTATCTACACTGGCGATATGGCAGGAGAATTAGGTAATTAGGTAAGCGTGGGGATATCCGAATCATCTCATGGTCCGCCGAGAGTGGCCACCATTTGACGTGTCGAAATATTGATGGGCCAGTGTATTGCAAAATGTCATATCTACCAAGAAGTGACCTCGCCGTCCTGATACACACTCAACTTTTGGTCGGAGAACGCCTTGCCAAGGATAGAGTCACAAGCTGGGTGTTGATCGTTCTACTGGTTCTCGGGTCGGAGGGAGCTACGAAAAGGTTAGCAAGCAGTCCCAACAAGCAGGCAGGAGGTCATTGTGTCTTACCGAACAGCCTTTCCGGCACGCCAGATCTCCAGGCCTCGGATCTCCTCCATCTCCTTCTCGAATTTCTCTCGGTAATCAGGAGCACCATTGTATTCCAAGCTGCGCTTGGTTTCCTTGCCATCCTTCACGCTGTCGTACAGCTCGTTGAACACGGGCTTCAGTGTGTCCTTGAACTTCTTGGACCAATCGATGGCACCGCGACGGGCGGTGGTCGAGCAGGCAGCGTACATGTAGTCCATGCCGTTGGCGCCGATGAGAGGGTACAGAGACTGAGTCGCTTCCTCGACGGTCTCATTGAATGCTTCGGATGGGGAGTGGCCACGTTCGCGGAGGACCTCGTACTGGGCGAGGAACATGCCGTGGATACCGCCCATGAGACAGCCACGTTCACCATACAGGTCAGAGTAGACCTCCTTCTCGAATGTGGTCTTGTAGAGGTAGCCACTTCCAATTGCGACACCCAGTGCGACAGCCTTTTCTTCAGCTTTGCCGGTCACATCCTGGTAGACGGCGACGGACGAGTTGATGCCGCGTCCTTCGCGGAACAGACTTCGGACGGTACGGCCTGAGCCCTTGGGCGCCACAAGAATGACATCGATATCCTTGGGGACATCAACTTTGGTGAGGTCCTTGAAGACCGGGGAGAAACCGTGGGAGAAGTAGAGGGTCTAATGAAGATCATATGTCTTAGTAACAACTTCAAACGGTCCCCAGGGTTGTCTCACCTTGCCCTTGGTCAATTGAGGCTTGATCGCGGGCCATGTCTCGCTCTGGGCAGCATCGCTGAGCAAGTTCATGATGATTGTACCCTTGGAGATGGCCTCATCCACTTCGAACAGGTTCTTGCCTGGGATCCAGCCATCTTGCTCGGCTTCTTTCCACGAAGCACCGTTCTTGCGGACACCGATAATGACGTTCAGGCCATTGTCCCGGAGGTTGAGGCCTTGGCCATGACCTTGGGAGCCGTAGCCGATGAGGGCGAGTGTGTCATTCTTGAAGTAGTCCTATATTGTGGTTAGGGGAGGTAAGTTGAGCTTGGGAGAAGGATGGCGCATACGAGAAGCTTCTCACGCGGCCAGTCTTCGCGTTCTGTGGAAGACTGTTAGCAACCTGGACAGATCGACAAAGATCTGAACACGCACCAAAAACAGTCTCTTTTGTGCCGGCGAAGTCAATTGTCTTGAGTCCGCGCGTCTGCTGCTGCGACGGAGCCGTGAAGGCCGGTCTCTGCACTGCGGCAGTCACCGGTCGGGTCGCAAGGGCCGACGCAATGGAGCGCTTCTGCACCGAAGGAGCGCTGATTTTCTGCTTGGAAGCGGTGCGCAGAGTTCTCGCGAAGGTCTTGGACGCCATTTTGTCTATCTGTACAATTGTAGTCAAAGAGAAAAAGAGAGGAGAGTGGTGAGATGTTCGAGTCAAAAGAGAACCTCGTGAAATCTGGGGAAATTTTCTGACTGCTCTCGCTCACTCTACCAGCAAAGCTTACTGTCCCGGTGATTGGCTGACAGCTTGCTCCGACAGCGGCGAGGCTGGCAAGCTGTTCGGAGCCCGACAAGTCTCCCCGCCCCGCAGTCCAGACTCATTCGTCCTGTTCTTCACGTGACTAGAGTTCATCTATTATGTAGCTGGGAAGGTTACCCGAGGGTTCCCCCCCGCTGGCCCCAACGCCAAGGGGTGTAAAGAGTCGTACAAAGTAACACAAGGAGAAGGGACGAACTTATCGGAGTCCCCTTACTATGATACACCACTGAAATGATTTGAAGTCCGCATGTGAGACGGAGGAGGATTGATAGGAGGTCCTGTAACGTACAGTGAGCCTCGCGGCTATCCAACCGAAGATATCTGTTCCAGGAGATGTTGCAACCTTTCACGTCCATTTCGACGGAGCACGCATCGAATATTGCCGAATAATCATTAACACCTATGGATTAAGTTGAGTCTACAGAAGGAACCACTGAGTATCGTCACGGGTCCGTGTCCCCTCAATGCGAGCCGCCGGAATTGGTTGCGATTGCTCCTCGCCGAAGAATCTATAGGGATGTTCATCTGCGGATTCGGATCCAGAATCAACGGCATCATTGTCGAGTTGAAGATACAGGGCTTCCTGCTCGTCCGCTGAATCTGCGCCCGATTCGAGGTCGTCGTAATAATTAGTCTCTTCGTTGGAGGCATCATCATCGTCGTCGTCGCTATCGGAGTCATCATTGTCATCACTGTCATCGTCTTCCCATTGGTCGTCATCATCGTCGTAATCGTCGGTGTCGCTGTTATCGTCGTCATCGTCATCATCATCCTCGTCGTCGCTGTCGTCTTCAGTGTCCTCTTCGTCGTTGGCAAAACTATTATCAGGACTACTACTAATCTCCAATGTCAGGACATGAAACTAGCCCCCATGATAGAGGAGACTCACAGGATCCGTTCCATTTGAAGGGACGCGGCTAGAAGTTGCCTGGACGGTTCGTCCCAGATCGTATATTTCTCTTCCTCCAGTTTATCGAGGATCGGGGAATCGATGACTTTGGCGACCGCAATACATTCGTGACGAATCTGACAGCCGCCGCCAAGATTGGGATTTCTCACCGTCGTGACGATCGCATCTATAGCTAACTTGTTCACTCTCCCAGGTTGGAAGGTCCGCTCAAGCCAGTACTCGAGCTGCGGTCCCGTCCGGGGGAGCTCGGGCATGGAATCACCAGTTGTACCTGGGACGTGAAGTGAAAGCGGTTTCTCCAGCAGGATGGCATATTTGGTGCCGGGGTTCCAAGTAAATGTCTCTGACGGGAAGCTCAGATCTCTCGGTGTGACTTCGACACAGACCCTCCCAGCTGCAGGATCCGTCACTTCGATTATCAGCGCCGATGATCTTGCGCTCCATGTCGACGGTGTTTCAATGATGATTGCCGGAGCCGTAAAGGACAGACCGCGACCCTCGCCATCAAGTCTGCAATATCCTTGGTCCACTTGCTTTACAAAGCCACCCGACGGGCAGCCTAGGAAGGTGGCTGGGGCCCACCGGAGCCCTTCGGTCGGTAAACGCCGATGAGAGTTGAAAAGTACCCCCCATTGGCATTCACGGATGGTCTGCCAGAAGGTTTCCATTCGTCTGTCTGCGAGTTCGACGTCACTGATCTCCTCGTTTTCGCTTAAGCCCTTCTCCTTCTTCAAGAGCGTCTCTGCGTTGAGGAATGGCTCTATGTCAAGGCGCATTATCGTGGCCAGGCAAAGCATCTCGTCGCTCTTCTTTGACGTGGATCGTGCTGCTATCTGAGACGCCAGAAGTGGGAGAGGATCTGCCACGGAGCCAGACGCCCACAGCTTATCCCGGTAGAAGTCAGCCTCGATGCTGACATGGTCAACTGTTTTGTCCGCGTATTGAATCAGACGCTTACGCGCCATGATGCATTCCTGGTATGTCCACAGTCGGCGATCCCAGTTGTTGAGATGCTCCACAATTCGTCGTTCGGGTCCTTTCACGGTCGTCGCAGTCTTGCGCAGTGAACAAAGAACAAGCACAGAGCAAGAGCTCTCGTAGATTCTCCACATGTCCCGGATGCACTTCTTGCGCAGATGTTTATTCTCCTTCTGCACTGGTACGCATAGGGTGTCGATCCAGAAGTGCGACGGATTTCCCACCGGCATCTTGTGGTTTTTGGCGGCCGCCTCGACCGAGTTTTGCAAGGCCTCTAGCTGACATACATAGATTGCATTGTCATCCTGGTTTCCAAGGCCGTCACTCCATCTGAGAGACCCGTCAGCGCCATGTTTGCAGCTATGCCAATCTTGAGGGTGATAACTTACATGTGGGACATGGCCATGAACGCGGGCTCTCCGACTTTCTTTCCGTTGACTTTGGCAGCCTCGAGTTCGAGCTTCTTCCTTTCGAGGTTCCATTTGAACACAGGAATGTCGCCAGCCTTGATGATCGTCGTCAGCTTTTCGATATCTGCACTTCGGAAGCCACCGCATTCGCCATCACAACTAGGTGCGTGAAACTGACGGTACGTTTTCTGGTCGATGTTGCGCCCACGGCATTCAAACGAGGTACATTTTTCGTGGGAGATGGCCCTGTCTCTCTCATCTTGGCTGCCGCTAAGCTCTGCATTCATCATCTTGGACAGGTAATACTGCTCATAGACGGTTCCACCATAATCGGAAAGCATTCGATGCACATCCTGTGGGCACCACCTTTTGGCCAACATTCGCTGTTCGAGTACCATGGAGCCACCCCAGCGACTGCCAGTGCGTCGAATATCGCAGCCACTGACCATTGCCGATGTGAGTGCATGACCGAGCGCGATGATGGACATCCATACTCTCTGGGGCAAGGGGGACTTCGCGACCAGCCGGGCACGCATATCAGCTTGTAAGCCTTGTCCACCACCTCTGGGCAAACAATAGTCATCAACAAAGTCCCTCACAGTCCCGAGAATCAAAGCGGCCTGTATGGTTGTAGGTATGTTCATGCTATCAACGGCCCGTCTCTTTTGTGCGACCTGCTTCCATTCCTGGAGCATCTGTGGGAGGCGCTTCGTGGTCACATACTGACCGTCCGGAGTGAGAAAGTCGCCGTGTTGAGCAGATATGCCGCAAATGGAGAGGAACTCGATCACTGAGCCGAAGAAGAGCCATCCCTGGAAGAAGTCGCGCACCTCTGCCACAGGCCGGATCTGGTGCAAGTCTCGGGAGTTGAGGTCGTCGGAGGACCAGCCTCGCCTCGCAGGATAACCCAAAAAGCTTGTGGGACCCGTGGTATAGGGCGTGATTGTGAAGTTGCGGACTTTGATATGCCCCTTCCCTGGAGGGAGTGGACAGTGGTCCATGTTGCAATATCATTACGAGACCAACATCTAACAGTGCCAAAGCTCAAGAAACTCGCAGAAGGAGAGACATTCACGACTTACTGTATCAGATGGGAGGAGGGGCTGGTGTTTGATGCGTTGGCTTCGGCTGGCCTTGTCTCCTCCGCTTTGCCCATTTTGCACAAGGCTCGAGTGCGAGACGGTGCCAGTTAAACATGATACAGTGGCATGTGAGGACCTCATGCAGACGGTCTCAGCCAGGGAGTGGTTCGCCTACATGGTAGAAGGCGAGGGGCTGACGAACTGGGGAGAAGCAAACGTGGTCGAAGGTGGGTAGCGCGTTTAGGAAGCCGCGGTCGTCACGGCCCGAATTTTAGCGACTGGTTGGCGCGGTTTGACGCCGGAGGGGCACTGAGAAGCGGGTCACACGTGATTCGCTTACTTATCATCACTAAGATTGACTCGCTGCATGACTCGCACCCAACTCACACCTACTCGGTGGTGACTCGCCGGTGAGTTGAAATCTGCCCGTCAGGTGCTTACAGCCTTCAGCATACTTTCCGTTGATCTTCATTCATATGTCAAGAGACAGTCCTTGTGTCTCCTGCCGGCACGGTAAGACAGTGACAAACCCGGGGCTTCCACAATAATGCCGAACATAGAGAGCGTCACCACGGACAGCAATCTGCTCAAATAATGCTGACCACAGCTGACCACAGCTGATCTGACGACGACCACGACCACCACCGCCGCTCGGCCTTTGGACGATATATTCGTTCTCACACAGACCACAGGTCATGATTGATGGCGCCGAGCAATTACTATTGTCAAAGTCACACGCCATCAAGGCCAACGCGCTTTTCCCCGCCCCCAGCCAAATGCCCTCAACGTTCGAAGACGGCAAGCTCAAGTTAACGGAAGAAACCAAGACGGTGAGGATATTAGGGTGATCCATGCCCTCCAGAGAATGAATGCCGAGCAGCAGCAACAAATCGCTCGGCTTGAACACGAGATAAATCAATACAGGCGGGCCCATCAGGAAGCCCAAAGGACAATCACACGTCTGGCTGAACGTGCAAATGAGCACGAAGCCAGAGAACGGCAAAATCCAGCCGACGCTGGTGTCGTGTTAAGACTGCAGGCAGACTTTGCCAACCTTAGACGACAATACGAGGCTCACGGCGTCGAATTGCAAGGACTGAGGGAGAGATGTGCAAGGTTATCGGAGGAGACGAATGCTCACAAGAGGGACTACGAAGACCTGAGAATATGCACATAGCTCGAGTGGAAAGAGAGAGAGACCGGAAAACAAAACAGCTCGAGGAACTCGAGAGGAGAGCGCCGCCACCAGTCAGCTTCAGGCATCCCATGACAGAGAGGACTCGTCGCCAGTCTTCGGAATCAAGTGTGTCGAGCCAGACCTATGTGGACATATTAGATAATTTGGACCGCCGGAACTCGATAACCGACAATTCGAGAGGGAGCTCCAGAGGCCGTCCCAGCAGGCGCGTGCCAGATGACCGCGAAGAAAGCCTGAGCGAGGATGAAAGAGAGGATTCCACACATAAGCGGAGACTACACTTGAGGTATGGTGGCAGAGAGAGTTCCAGACACTCTCGGGAAGTAATCCCAGGCTATGATCGACGGCGAGACTCCAGAGATAGACGACCTGCGTATGAATCAGGTCGCGAAGAAGATGATGCACTGTTTCACAGACAGACGTTTCACGGTCGCAAAGAAGCCAGCGAGTTGATGGACAGGCTCGAGGCCCACGTTTGGTCAGGTAGGAGCAAGGCCAGACCGGAAATGCGAGCACGCGTCAAAAGAGACGGGAGGAGCGTGTTTGTCCGGGAGAAGGGCCACTCCTTCAACAGTGACCTGATGCAGAGTCTGTCGTTCGATCAGTACGGCCCTGCATCTCCAACACCTCGACAGTTTCTGTGGAAGTCAGAACATGTATTCAAGCGTGGTCCTGATAATGCGCTCTGTCCAGTGATATCAGTCAGAAGACCCCGGCGCCGTCTCTAGCCTTACCAACAATTGGTCCACAGTGCCATAAAATTCCTCAAGGGGCATCATTTCGTCTGATCGTAAACGCCATGCTCAGGCTCTGAGGGGTGCCTCAAGCTGTAGATCATCGCAAGACTCGGTCGTAGGTCTGGCCCTTCACCGCACCCCCACCCATGGCTGTTCGGGCGTTGCGGCGGAATCCTTCTCGGTTGTTCCTTAGATCTTCGGCTGCCTCCTTGTTGAGCGGGTCGGACGCATTAGGCTCCAGGAAGAGGAACTGTTCCCTCTGGTCAGCACGCCATTGCTCCACATTTCATCGCTGATATCTGGAGTCTGCCATACCTGCATGCCGACTATCACAGCATTCAAATTCAGCACAGGCTTCCAATCTTCTCTCAGTATATTCAGACACACATTTCCCTCCAGATCAATGTTCGGGTGGTATATCTTTTGCGTGCACTTGACTTTGGGCGGATCGTGGGGAAAGTTCTGGTTGATGGCGAAGTTGAAGACGAAGCTGCCGCCTTTGTACATGCCTTCATCGGGTTCGATCGTGAGCTGGAAGTTGAGAATGTCGTCGGGATCAGGGAACGTGGTCTTCATGGTGTTTCCGAGGGAGAGTTCACTGAGATCTAAGCCAGAGCCGTGTCAGATCCCTGGTGTCCTGCGAGCTGTATCCCTCATTTCTCGCTCACCTTTCTGCACTCGTAACTGGGCAGCCGTGACCTTCTTTTTCTTCTGTGTTGCTCCTTGAGCCTGCTCATCCTTCTGTTGCTGTTGTTTCTTTACGTGGCCATTAGCTTGGACTGACAAATGCCTCGAATCCCCTACCATTGACCATATTTTCATCATGTTGCCAGCGGGTTGTCACCACCCCGGTGACGCTGTCGCTTGTCGAGGTTTCCTCTCGAGGAGACGTTTATAACGGCGGTCGGAGAATCTAACAAGGCCCAGGTTTTATCTTTTGTGTCCTTGCGTCGTGCAGATGAGCGGCAGACGGAGTAGGGCGCAGCCTGATGGTTGCGGCGAGGCTCCGCAAGGATGAACCGAAGCGGAGGCGGCGGAGTAAAACGAAGACGTGAAGCACACGTGCGGTCTAGGCAGCTTGAAACGCAGTGGGAGTTCTGGAGAATTCTACTGAGAAGTGCTAATTGAGGTTGGGTTTCGGTCGTGGTTTGGTGGTACATAGTACGGAGTAATATTAAATGTACGTTCGCTTCACGTGCCGCCACAGGCAGACGGCAGACGGCAGACGGCAGACGGCAGCCGCGGCCTCTTCGGAGACTGGGCCGATGTGGCCAAACATACGGAACACATCGTACATTTACTTGCTTTGTTATCACCTCGACACCCTGGTGTCCATTCCCAACCGGAGGTCGACAGCAAATCTGTTCGCCCACTCGAAAAGTCTTTTAATGCATCTTGGAGACGCCCCCCGTGATGCCCGGGCCGATTCAACCTTGCGATGCAGAACACTCAAAGGCCGTTTATCTTCTGTTAAAACAGCACAAGAGACCAGTTCTCCCGAGGAACCAACAACACCCAAAAAATCGGACAAGGGACAAGGCAGCCGTCGTCCACAGCAGCGCTTGGAAAAAGTGATTGCTTCGACTCGTAGCTCTCGACTTTGTGGATAGTTAGCAATGGTCAGTCTAAGCCAAGAGGTGGGTGCACTCACGGTAAAGCCAAAGTTGTCGACACTGTCACTAGTAATGACAACAGCAAGCAGGGCGTTCGAGAAGATCCAAGTTGCCACAAGTCGAGTTCGGAAGTTCTTGTACGAATCCTCCAAGGTTTTCTCTTCCTTCTCCACAGGCGGCACAAAGGGCGCAAGGGCACGTCGAACCGTCGCTTCGAATTGGCTGTCAATGTCGGCTTGAGGCCGGTCTACTTCTTCGACCACGGTCGCCTTGCCCTTTTCGTCCTTCTTGGTTTGAGCCGAGGGCAGCACATCGGCCTTGTCTGAGCCTTTGGTGCCCCACGATACATCGTGCCAATTGCTGAAGGCGTAGATCATGAGGATGTTGATAAAGGACGGCATCAGTAGCAGGTACTGCAAGAAAGACGTAAACATGTGCCAGGGATCCAGGTACATGAACGAGGCCACAAAGTACAGTCCAAAGGTAGCTGCAAGCGCAATGATGACAATGCCGGGTCCGGTCGAGGCGAAGAAGGACTTGACGAATTCATTCGCGCCTTCGTTGGTCACGATATCGGTGCCATCCTTTGACGTGAATGCCCTCACTACCAAGTACATTGACAAGACAATGACATACAGTTGGATGAGTGCAAAGACGCAGAAGGACACGGTATAGGCGAGCTTCGAGCCCTTGGGTCGGTTGCCCAGGGCGAGGATGAACTGCAGCAGCAGAAAAGCCAGGTAGACGTATTGGAGGATCGTGTTGATGACGGGTGTCGCACTGTCGCCAAAGGGAAATGCCGTATTGTTGTTGCTGTCACTGGGTTGACCCACTAGATCCATGAGAATCTTGGTGGTAAGCCAGAATGCTGCAAGTGAAAACCAGGAAAGAATCACCGAGACGATGTTGTAGATCATTTGGATGTGGAAGAAGAACATTCGGACGAGGTTGTGGCCGGATTTGTACATGCGGGAGAAGTGCATGAGAGAATAGATCGAGGCGGCAAAGGAGCCGTTGAGCCAGCGACGACGTTGTCCGATGAACTCCGCAGCGCCTTCAGGCACGTCGGTTTCGGCTTTGGACGCCTTGACGTAGGTGAGATGCCATTTCGAACCAGCTTTGGCGACCAGTTCGAAGCACAGGATGCGGTCCTCGGCCAAAAACATGTTCTTCTTGAAAATGTTCATGCCTTCGATACCCTTCTTTCCCAATCGCGCGGACATGGTATGGTCACCGTGGAAGTACTGCTCAAGCGGACGGCCCATGATCGCTCGGAACCGATACGCCGAGAATGCACCAGGCAAGACACTGACATATCCGAAAGAACTTTCCAAAGGCTTGTCCAAGATATTGCTGATCTTGTACTCGAAGTTTTGTGCCGCAACCAAGGGATTGAGCAACTTCCGTCCGAAAACACCTCCACGGCCCAACATGGCGTGAATCTCACCACAAGCACCACCAAGATCCTTGTCGTTGTAGAAAGCTTCCCAGAGAGACACGATAGCCCTCGGTCCCGGTTTTGTGCCGGCATCGAGCAAAACACAGACCTCAGGGTTCAGGATGCGACCGAAGGCGTTAAAGAGCCATCGATGAGAGTTGATCTTCTTGCTGTTCTTTTGCTTCAGACAGAACATCATCTGCACCGGTGGCAGGGACGTAGCGTCATTGTCATTCGGTCGAATGAGTTGCTGGTTGGCAGTGACGGAGAGCTGGGTGGTATATTCGAAGACATGAACCACCGTGTCCTTGCCGTCAAAGTCCTTCTTCATGACACCATCCTGGTACACGCCCACGGTCGCCAGCACATCCAAGGTGTTTTTGTCGCATGGATCAATACCGTCGAACACGAGGCACACGACAATTTTCTGCCAGGCGGGCCCACCTTTATTCCAGAATTCGGACTTTTTCAGATTGACAATGTCACGGATGTTCTGCATGACACCGTGCAAGGTGCGAGCCGTCAAAACCTTGTCCTCGTTGTAGGCTGTGATTGCGATCAAAAGCTCGGTATGGCGGTTGTACATTGCTGGCCGCAGATTGTAGCCATTCTTCAACGTGAAGTCGTCGGGATCGCATGTAGCTGCCGTGTACCGCATGTGTGTAAACTCCTCGCTTCCGCCCTCGAGGTCATTCCGATATTTTGACTGGATTGCATTCTGAATGGCGCTAGGAACTGGGTAGTCGATGCTCAGAACACTGTTGACCACCTTGACCTTCCTGGTGGCATAGCGCTTGACCGTGCCGAAGCCGGGAGCTTGTCGCTGCTGCCACGCCTCGGTAGAAGTGGTCCTTTCGACCGGGTCACCATATCCTCCGGCCGGAAATCCAGCTTGCGAATTTGTCAATCCGTAACCTGGACCTTGACCATAAACCTGTGTATGTTGAGGGTTGTACTCCGTTACAGGAACCTGTGATTTATCTCCTCCTGCGTACGTCTCGTTCAGAGTGTAGACCGACTCTTGACCCGGGGTCAGAGGTCGAGAATGAGGATCGTCATACTGGCTTTGATATGCAGAATTCTGGTGCAGTAAAGAGTGTTCTGCCTCGTCGTCAGAGTGGTGTCCGGATGGTCTATAACCCTACAAAGCGTCAGTCCGGCTTTAGCTTATGCTGGTCTGTCCAGGAACGTACAGTTCCGGGAGGGATGTCATTGAGTTGGTGGCTGTTGTTGTAGCCGCCAGGATACTGGCTCGCCATGATGTTGCCGACCTGACACTCTCCTATTTCACAATATTGGGAAGCTCAAGCGCAAGGCTTCGGGCACCGAAGATGTCTGGATTGTCGGATAGGCAATCGGTGAAGCTCGACTATCACGACGTAAGTGACGGGACGTGAGTGAAAAGGATGACAGCCGCCAGGGCACGTCACAGGTCGGAGGTTGGTGATGCGATGCGACTGTCAGAGCGAGTGACGGCGAGAAGAGGTGGGAAGCTGACTGAATGCGGAGACGATGAAAGGTAAAAAAGAAAGAATGTGAATTAGGATTTCGGACGGAAGAACAAAGGATCAGGGTCCGAGATGTCGTTCGGATTAGGATTTACAGGTCTTTGCAGACAAGGAAGAGGAGAGACAGCGGTGTTTCAGTCCTCTTGACCTCCTCCCACTCACATTGCCTGCTGAAGTGCTGCTCGGCCCTTTTTTCAACAAAAGTCATCCCCTGAAAGCTGAAAGAAGCGAATCGGGCTGCGTACTGGGTATGCAGGGTGGGTGCAGGGAGCCCGGAACAAGCGCTGACGACACCGGACAGGCATGCGGAGGCGGGCGGTGGCTTGCTTGGACCGGTCTTGTGGAACCCGCCGACCAGGCTGTGCAGGGTAGCACGTTGCTTGTGCGTCGCTCTCAAGCCACCTGCTCAGTGGCCCAGCGCTCAGCCTTCGCATGCCGGTGAGATCCTTATATTCCCATGCGGTAGAGGGATAATTACCGAGGGGTATTTTGATACTGGGAGGTGTTCGCCCAGGCCGAAGGGCGCTGCACAGAATATCAGCAATTCGACTTCGGGAGATCGATCTTGAAATCTCAAACAGAGCCCGTGGAACATGAAACATTGCCAAAAAGACCCAAAATCCACCGATCCACCAAAGTCAAGGGTCTGGTTTGCCCGCACAATCGCTGTGGCTCCTCTGCAGCTTCCCCCGCAATTCGACGCAGCATCAGTGGAATTGCAAGCGCGACTCTACTCAGGGGGGCTCAGGCAGGCGACGAGTTTACTTTATCCATCTCTAGATGTGGTGTGGTGATCAGCAAATCTTCAGTATTGCGTCTCAATTTGATGACTATAGCAAACACTACAGCAGTCGTTCTGCAGTGAGCACCGCATGTACGACTAGCCTTTTCATGTGCAGCAAGGAAGACTCTGTGCAGCACGCCGTAAGGGTGCTCGAAGACTCGCAGTAGAGTGACCCGAGACGGAGTAACGTAAGCCAGTGGTGCAGCTCGATCACTCAGGTACTGGGTGACAAGCGCCAAATTTAGAACTGTTGGCGGGAGGCGGCGGTGCAACTCATGCGCCACATTGTGGCAATCATCGTTTTCCATGCGACTGGTTCTCCACGACTCCTGCCACTGTTCAACTTTGAGAGAAACAATACTGTATTGTGATTTTCTTTTGGCACTCGCGGCCGTCACGCCTTACTATGCACAGGGCCATGCGACGGCCGTGGATGTATTGATGCTGCTGACTGCCAGATGAGGAATTTTCTGCCCCTATTGATGTGGATCGCAGGATCTCTGGTGCTTGGATTTTGTCGGCGTCAGCAGACCGAAGATAGCGTCGAGATGGGTACAGAGTATAAGATTTGTCTTCCTCATATGCAGTCTATACTGAGCCACGTGCGCAAAGGGGGTTCTTGAAGTCTCGACTCGAGGTTCTCTTCGCTCGAAACATGCATAGGAGACTTCAAAGGAGAGGTTATTGTGAAACTATGAATGTGTGACCTGGATTTGCTGGGACACTTGGCAGGTATCGCAGCCCATCACTTTCTGGGATTGCGAGTGTGGCATCGTGCAACGCAGCAATTCAACAAGCAATGTATTGGGCACCGGCCGCCGACTTGCTCTGCTAAGTGGCTGTGTGATTTTGATTATGGGTTCGAGCCGTATCTGTTCTGGCTACATGTTGTGACGTTGCTTTAAGTATGAACGGGCAGACGAACGTTGAGACACTCCCACGGCGCAGGTTTGTTTGAACGAGGGCGGAGCTTTGCCTGACTGGGTGATGGGCTCTCGCTTCTCTACCAACCACAGCGGTGGGCGGCGTGTACGAGCGCCCCTTCATCTCGCACATGCCTTCGGCCACCCGAAATCTGGATTGCCATTTGTCGGTCCTGTTCACGTCGTTTTCTGCTCACCTCCACCTTACCATCCTCTCCCAACTGCTCCCCAGGGCCGAGAACGAGAGATCTGCTGGCCAACGCCAGCTCTGATCGCCCTTGGACTCCTCCATCCTCTGCGTTCCGCTGACTTCAATCCTTCAACAAACCAACTCGGGTTCGATCTTTTTGTACCGTTCTGAACTTTGATTCTGCCGTCTTGCTGTTGCCCGACGCTGCGCCGTCCCACATTCCTTTGTCTTCGTCCAGGGCACGGTCCCCATCACACGGTCACCCACGATCACGCAGCGCTCCTTTCATTTCTCGACACCCTCACGTTTAACCATCGCCCTTGTTCGAGCATCACCTCACGTCTGTCACTATCGAATCCCATTACCATCGACCGAACCGGGCGCTCAAGAGCATCACAGTCAGGCAGACACAGTCCGTCTTGCGGCGAGGAGAAGGGAAGAAGCCAAAGCCGAGTTGAGATAATCAGCTCTCGCCTGGTGCTGTTGCCATCTACCACACCCTCAGATCACGGATCAGCATGGCCCTTGACTCCTCACCACATCGCCTCTTTCGTCGATGCGTTCAGTGTCCGCCAGACCCTCCAAGCTGCCCGTCATGTGCAGTTGATGAGACATGCTCCCTGACGGCACAATCCTGCGATTCCTGCGCCTCTACCACGTGCGTCAAGATTGGCTCTTTACCCGGACAATCAGCGCCGAAGAAATCTACACCTGTTGGCCCGATCGTCGGCGGGGTGGTGGGCGCTGTTGTTCTCCTGGCTGTCGTTGCTTACCTGGTTTATCGATTCTACTTCCGCAAGAAACGGCGAGCTCCGGCATGGGATCCGCCGGAGAAGAGAGATCAATCGACTCTGCACCGGGCTGACCGGCAGTCAACTCGGTCTGCGCATTCAATCGCTTCAACGGTTCTCACTCGTGCGTCGAACGTAATTCAGATCGCTTATATTCCCGGTGTCACCGTTCGGTCACCGCCCGACTCTCCAGGCCTTCTTGTTCCACCAGTACCTGCTATTCCTGGAAGTCTTGCTGGTAATTCTGCGGCCTCGTCACCACAGCTTGAGCAACATTTCTTCATGCCGAGAGACCTCAGAGATTCTACTTGGTCCGACACCTCTTCCATTGACCCGAGATTCAGCGTCGCACCAAGTCTAGCTCGCACAAGCGTGGCTACCACTATATATCGTAGCGACGCCATCGTACCCCCCGTACCGGCAGTGCAGGCTTTCCGAGCACAAGCCAATATGGTCAGCGTCAAATCTGGATCAAACACGCCAGGGACGTCGTCGACGCCCAGTTCCAGAACGCCGCAGATTCCACAGGTATCCAAAATGGGCAGCAGTAACAGTTCCATTGTCGCGAGAAACGTTACTGCTCGACCCATCGAGGTCAAGAAGGTCAACTCCGGAAACAGAGTGCCGACGCTCGGAAATCTGGCTAAAGAAGCTGCGCGGAAAAGCAACACCGGGCTGAGCCCAAAAGAAAGTGTTCAAGTCTTTGTTGACGAGAAAGAAGTCGTCGCCTCGCCTGCTGCTACCACACCCAGCACAGTCATTGACGAGTCACCGGTGTCACCTCTTGTGATCCCAAGGCAACCGTTCGCGGCAAACCACTCGGCAAGGTCGTCGTCCGTCAGTGGTATCGAGAATTTCTCTCGAGGGTCTTCAAGCGGGACAACACATAGACACACGGGCAGCGCTACGCTGAGCGCTCTTATCGAGGACTCGATCAACCGTGCAAGGGATCCTCAGCACATGAATGTCACAAGCCCGACGCTTCGGCCACAGCTCGTCAAGCATGACTCTGGGCCGTTTTCTGACGCGAATGAAGTGAAGGAAAATCTACCCTGATGTAAAATATCTTTTTTCATTTCTCCAAGAATACCCGGCGAGGTCCGGTTGTTATCTGTCACGAGGCTGGTTGATGATGTTTGGGTGGTTTGGTTTGGGCGATCTGGATACTGATCTAGCCCGAGAGGCTGTGGTCGTGATATGTACCACAAGTAAAAGCACGCACATGGTCATTCTTCCCAGAGATATCTTGAGCGCCTGTTAATGGATTATCTGGAAGTGCGCTTGCACAAAGCTCTTGAGTGCCTTCCTTACGGTCAAAGTGACAAAATCTTCACCACGGACTTCAATCTGGATTGCAGCTCGGAATCAAGTTTTATCGCGATCGCGCATGTTCTCGATTGCGCAAGTGCTAGAATCGCGCTTGGGCATGTTGAGCGCGCAGTTCGCAGAGATCCTGCGGTGATCTGGTCACGATCCACAGAGCTCACTCAGTGGCACCACGACCGATCTGCTGCTTTGAGCTGGATTCTCTATTCCTTCATGTCGCGATCGTGTCTCGACAACAAAAGGCGCGCCATCATTACCATCTCTTGTAGAAGATGGTGCTCACTTGAAGGGGGACGGATTCACCTAAGTACCATCGGTAAGTACTATCGCCCTGTTGTCGCGGCTTGCTGTCCAAGTCGCGATCTCTCCCCTATGCTGCCTCTTCGCTGCTGTTGATGCCCTCAGTATACGATTTTGTCTTACCTGGGTACGTCCGGTACCACTTTAGCCCGGTTTGCCCAGACTGACGACATTCAACCCACTTGGTTGAGATTCTCCCGGTCACTGAACCTCCCGTGGCGTCTGACGCTGCCGAGTCGATTGGTGAGATGCCCAGGGCAGGAGACCTGTGCGGTGCCCCCTTACTTCGATCCATCCGTCGAGAAGTTTGGCACAGTCTAGGAGAACTGGGCTTGAGCGGTCAAAAGCACAACCACTGAATACAGGAACGGAGGGAGTAGGGGTTGGAGGAGGATGCTCGCACAGCAAGACGTGAACGGCCCGGAGAATGGAACAGTGCCGTAGACCCGTCTCAAGATGCGCTGTTTGGCCAGAGAGTACCTTGAACATTCGGTATCAATGCCAACACTGTGGCCAACTATCACCGAGAAGTTACCGAGTTGAGCATTCTTCATCTGGTTGTCCATTGTGATATGCCGTGCGTACTGCGAGCTATGCCAGACTCAGTTCAGACAAGGATCAGGTCGGGCCAGAAGGTGACCTGCGAGCCGCGTACTCCGTTTTGGGTACTTTTTCACCGTCACCGTACTCCACGCATGTGTACTTCGTTTGCAGCCTTGTCGATTCTGCCCTCTGCCTTTTCGGCCTCGATCCTGGCTAACGCTCTATTCCGGTCAAGCGCTAAAAAGGGTCGGGAATCAAACACTGGCAGCCAACACAGGGAAACCCAAAGTCGGCGCATGTTGAGACGAAGTTATAACCGCCGAGCCGCAGCGGCCATATCAAGGACTGCAGCGTCAATGGCTGCGTGACAACGATAGTCTTGTCGCTTCAAAGACAAATACGGTCCGAGACTAGCTTTATATGACAGATGTGAAGGCATTTACTTGATCCAGCAACCTCAGCCTTCTTCTTCCCCAGCCCAGCACTTCCAGAATGGCCGGATCTCTTCTTCTACAACCCATGATGCTGTCTCCTCATCAAGAAGCAATGGAAGAAGCATGCAAGGCGGATCAAGTCGCCGAATTGCAGAAGCTTTTCGCCGAGCACGATGTGAAGCCTGGCGACGACCCTATCCCTTACTGGCATGCAACACAAAAGGGTGCGCCTGCGACAGGCACTCTGTTCGTCGCGGCCATTTCTCGTAGACAGCAGTCAATCGTCCAATATCTGCGGTCCGCGTATCCGAAGTTCGACTTTTACACTCCCCCAATCATCCATGCGCTCACTGCGGCGCCAGATCTTGAAATGCTCAAGCTGATTCACTCCTACTCACCTCGAATTGTGAATTTTGGGTTCGATGACCACGTAACGACGCTGTTGAGCAAGGCGTGCGAAGGCGGTCCTCAAAATGCCCCGTTTGTAGACTTCCTCTTGGACCACGGAGCCATGGCCGACGACTTTGGAAGCTACACATACCAATTCGGAGGAGAACTAGTGTCCGCGATTCAACATGATCAGCCGACACAAATCATCCAGAAAATGATCCCCAAGACGTCTCGTTTATGGTTTCCTATTGACGTGGCAATCAGACGGAAACGTGTCGACGTACTCGAGCTGCTTTTGAATGAAGAAGAGAAGAGGGGAGGACATTCCTGCGATGGAACATATGAGCAAGCGTTGCTTCGTAACGCGCATGCCACGGCAGACAAGAATGTGATCGCCTTGGTGGAACGGTTTGCGGCGAATTTTGCTGCCAGAGGCCTCCAATCCACGATAGCCTCCACAGAGAGTAGGAGATGGTGGCAGTGTGGTGCACGGGCGGACTCCAAGAATCACACCGACGCTGGACATTCCACCAGCGCGCCTCGGACTGGTGCTGGCAGGTGGTGGTGGCCGCTGTCGAAGGTTGCGTGGGGACCCAAGTCTGCTGATTACACGCCAGAAGGAAGGACCACCCGATTCGGCTTCAGTTCAAGGAAGATTGCTTTGTAGTTGACGGGTTTGAGAACGGCGAGGTGGCCCCAGTTCTGACGATACATAGGTAGAGGCAGCGCGTCAAGTTTGGAATGGGTGCACCTCCATCGGATGGCTGAATCTGCGAAGGTCGAGCTCCCATGATCTCAAATTTCGAAACGTACCGTGCATCCTACGGTACAAAGTCGATTTAGTTCTGAAAGCGTTTGTGCCCACGCCGACTTTCGGCAGGCATGGTAGTGCAGCTCAGGATGAAGGTGAGTATTTAAGGCAAGAGGAGCGTGATACGGAGGACGAGTGGGCTCAGTGGGTTGTAAAAGCGGCAACGTTGGCGGGAGTCGCACGTGAGCTCCAAGCCGATTTCTAGGTATCTGTACTTTCACTCCAGTATGCCAATATACCTCGAAGCGTTGACCCTGGATACACGTACCGTAGCCCGCCTGCGAGCTTCAAGGAGCGCTTGACCTCGATGCTGTCTGAGGGAAGGTGTATGGCTTGTCCACAGCACGCACAACAGATGCAACCACTTCTAACGGCCTCTCGCAGCTCACGTCGCCTACGGGAGCAGTCCGAGAGTTGTGTGAGGAGTGAAGGATGACTGCTCCTCGGTTCCACCTCCCATGACCTTCGATCAACTCCCCTATGCATGCGGGAAATACGTGCTGGCGCCTTCGCAGACGGTGTGCCCAAACCGGCCTGGGGGACATACATCTTACCACCGTCCAGCGTCTTTCATGGTACCGGGAGGTTGTGTATGGCTAATGGCGAGCAGTACCGAAAAGAAAGACGTGACACCCCCTGATTTCCGAGCTCGTCACGCTCTTTTGGTTGACTTGAACCGAGCGTCAGCCATGACTGGTGACCGCCCTATATGATCGATCAACCGAGTAAAGAATACATGAAGACCTGCGCCGCAGTGCGTTTGCTCGACCAGAGGCTGCGAAGACGAGAAAATGAGCGATCACCACGACCAAACCGGGTGATGGGCTTTGGTACTGTGTATGCGTGTCCGTCGGGCAGAGAGCCCAAAACTCAAAGCAGCGGCGAGGGCGCTGGACGAAGGGCACATGCGTCTGCCGGAGCCGGACCTATCTTCATATGAACACGAAGTCCGCGCTGATTGTCAGATCAGCAACAATACTCCGCCTCCTTCACTCGGAGCTCGACGCGCTTCAGCTTCTGAGTTTGCCCTCTTCTTTGACGGTCCGGAAGCGCGCGGGATGGCGGGCTGCCTCGCTGTCTGGACACACGGCCTCTCCAGGTTATGTAGGTATTCTCTCTGCAGTGCTCCTTACAAGTTACGTGGCTATGAGCTGGCACACGTTACGTACTTGCACCACATGCCTTACTGGAGCGTCCAAGCAGACCGCAGCAGCCGGGAAGATGACGAGGTTGACATGGCTGACTCGAGCTCGAACGTCCAACACAGGACTGTGAACGTATTCGTTCTCGCTCCTGCGTGCGTAATTCGCATTCCTGACCGCGAGCGTGGGACGCCTCATATACTACACCACCGCACTGTATGGCTAGTGAGTAGAGTGAATGGCTGACAGGGTCGTTCCTAAAACCGGGCTTTGCGGTGAGCGCACTGGTACCATATTCCAAATCACCGAGCCACCTTACTGCAAGCCTTGTTGGTTGTAAACGTTTACCTGTGAGTCCGCTTATTTCCTACGCAGTTCGTCTCGGAGAAGGAAGCTGGAAGGTGTGAGATGAAATGTCAGGACCTCCACGGTTGCTGTTCAGAAGCACGTTTGGCAATTACAGTAGAGTGCCGCGCTTAGCCGTGTTCTCGCGCTGTGTTGTACTTCCTGCTGTAGGAGGCGTGGTGTTCCTTCACTCATCGTGAGGCTCCGAATGTATATTCATCAATTCCCATCCAGCTTCGGTGGCACCCACTGCATTCATGAACCAAGACCCTCTGCTCGAGTACAGTAGCGTGTACTTGTACCCGTAGTGCGCAGACATATCGGTACCGAGCCACAGTCTTGAGGGGAGCGGTCCGCTCACCCCACCTGTTCGATAAGACCATCATACTTTGGCGGCCGGGGTCCTGGTCATGATGAATGTACATACATACGTATTATGCTTACTTCAGCCTACAAGTACCTTCTTTTGCGAACATATCCCAGCCGACTCGCTGTTTAAAGGTTTTGGGAGCACAACTTAATCCTAGTTACTGCATAACCCACGAGAGCTCAAGGGCACCAGGGTTATTTCTGTACTTGATCACCGCGCTCCGCTCGATCCGCGATCATGCTCGAGCAAGGCGCCCTGCCCACGGCAGATCTGCTGATACTCAGCAACAACGTCTCTCTCCTACCACCGCTGTCTCGAAGGGGACGTGGGCCGGGTCTCATTCTCGTTCTGGCGGAGAATGCGCCCCGCTATCCCGAGGACGGGGTTATCTGCGTGGACGGCATTCCGCCTCCGCTGCTGAAATGGGCGGAGGAGGGATTTGCCGTCGTCGAGATCCGACGGAGTGAAAACGTCGAGAAAGCGGTTCTCCAGAAGGCCATTACCGCTCTGGAGGAGTGTGAGAAATGTGATACCAAGGATGGGATTGGGATGATATGTGAGTGAGTTTCCTCCTGCAGTGCTTTGTCTTTCTCAAGTCATCCATGGCACTGGCGGCTGGCAAATGACTGAAAATCATGATGTTCAAAAGTTTACGACACGTCGCTGTGGGATAGCTTCGCGAACAAGGACGCCATTGACACCAGAATATCGGCGGCTGTCATCTATGGCACGGTCGGGGATCGTGTCGTTCCGGCCGCCGCGGTGCCTGTTCTTTGCCATTTTGCTGGGCAGGGCAAGCCAGACTCCCATCCCGGCGCCAAAGTGTACACTTATCCGACTGTCGAGGCCTCAAACTTTGCTCTTCCATGCCAGCCGAACTTCGACAGTACAAACGAGGCGGTGTCACACACGCGCAATCTCACCTTCTTGAAAAAGCACATCCGTGGATTGGATTTCGATCTCGAGGCTATATGGGAAGAGCATACGTATTTCGAATTTGCAGAACGGTCTGTGCCCAAGACAATGGCCACGATGGTCCAGGAGCCTTATGTCAACCATATTCCCACGGTATGCGAGATCTCTGATTTCCACGCACGTGTGGGATAAGGGCAGCTAATCAGGTTGCAGATGACCGGTGGTATCGGGCGAGCGAGCTTGAGTCACTTTTACGCAAACAATTTCATTCCGAAGAATCCAAAAGACATGAACTTGGTGCTCGTGAGTCGAACAATTGGCATTGATCGAGTTTGTGACGAATTCGTCGCCACGTTCACGCATGACATGGAAATCGACTGGCTGTAAGTACACTGTCCCTTTCCATTGCAGGGTATGAACTCATTTCTCGCAAGAGCTCCTGGCATACCTCCCACAGGACGGAAGGTCGAGCTCCCATGTACGTCGGTCGTCTGCGTGCGCGGCGACCGTCTGTACCATGAGCATATCGCTTGGGATCAAGCGTCACTCCTGTGTCAGCTGGGTCTCATGCCGGAGTATCTCCCTTATCCGTACCCGCTTCCGGATGGCCGGAAGCCAGAAGCCGGCAAGAAGTTCGAGTACAAGGTCCCGGTCGCTGGCATCGAGACTTCGATGAAGATGTTGGACAAGAACAGCATCCCGTCGAACAGAATGTTTGAGTATCAGATTCGTCAGGTAGACGCTTGAACGAAGATGACCCAGCAAATTCATTCCTCCAGGTTGTTGCCTTGAGAACACGGAGTGCGTATTGAACACATAAAGCCAGCCAGCCAGCCATCCTCATGACAATGGCCCCGATGAGGAAAACGTGTCCACCTTGTTCAGAACACGTGGATCGGTGAATGACAGGCCTGCCAGCAACGTCTCAACAAGCCGCAGTCTGTCTTCAACATCCCGGCTCTCTCGCCTCCAGTACCTCAACATCTCCATGACCTTTTCCACAGCCTGCCGCCACCGATCTGGCATGAGCAGTGTCAATTTCTCCCGCCTGGCCGCTCCGAGAAGGACAAATGCACTCCGTGTGCAAGACCTTAACATCAGCCAGGTGCCATGGTGGCGGTAGAAGAATCCCTGCTCGTTCTTCTCGATCCTTTCCACACAGACAACCAGGGCTTTGTGGACAAAGGCGTCCATCGAGTCACTGGAGATCGTAGGCGTCCGCTCCGGCGTGTCATAGTTCACCGCGGAGACGATGAAAGGCCAGTACATCATCTCGTAGCAATCGAGCAGGTGACCCTTCAGGATGAACTTGAGCGACTGGTGCAACTCGCTCTCTTCCCCCACAGATGGTACATCGAGTTCCAGTGCCTGAGGCAAGGACCGGATCCAGTCTGAAGCTTGTTGTTCAAAGCCCAGCGTGGACTCGGCGGCATTGGACAATGAGCTTGTGGCCTTGCTGTCGTAGATGAAATTGAGGATCCTGTTGCCGAGCCGCCGAAGGGCAATTTCGGCGAGATAAAAATACCATACAATTTCTCTTTGGGATCGAAGGCCCTCTGGAGGCGAAGGGAAGAAGGCAGGGTAGGTCAAATCCCAGATCGACGTCTCCGAAACGTTGAGTTCGAGGCGCAGCTCCCTGGTTGCAGTTTAGTATCTGTTTTGCCGCCCGATGATCGAGCAAAAGCGCTTCACACTTACAGCTCGGACTTGAAGCAAGTCCAGTAGATGCTTTCGCGCAGCCGTTGCTCGCCTTCCCTGTCCACCTCGGGAGACTCCTTCTCCGTATAGAATGCCTGACAGCAGGCGAGTGCCTGGACAAACATCTTCCATGCCTCCATCGGGCGCAAGGTTGCCATCAAGTACACGCCGGCCAGGAAAAAGCATTGTGCTTCCAAAACACCTGTGCGGCATAGCAGATGGCCCATCCGTTTCTGCGCCGCCGAGAAGTATGACTCTGCCTGCCGGAATTGAGGAGACGCGCGAAACGACGAGGCATCCTGTTGAGGACCTGCGTCAAATGGGCCAATGGATCCGTGAGCGTAGATCAAAAGCTGTGACGAGGGTCAATATCGCTGCTCCAGTGGCTGTCGACGGAGGAAGGACTCACCAGCAGACACGACTGTGCATCCCACCCGATCCCATTGAACCGGGCATCACGCATGTAACGTTGAATTTTGGCCTCCTCGAGCACCGGGTTGTAGATGAAGACGTTGTTCATGAAATGGGCAACCAGTTCCTCCTCGGCCACCTGCTCATCGAACTCGGCGGCCATGGACAGATTCTGGTTGGCGCCATGGCTCGAGTTGAGGAGTCCTTTCAGATCCAGATTGGGGCTCACATCGTCGAACACAGACCAGGACAAGACGCCTTCGATGTTCATATGACAAGGCGCGGCATCCTTGGACCGTTCCAGGCTCGGCGAGTTCAGCGACTTCAGCCGGGACAAGACCCCCCGGCTAGGACTGTCCGCGACCGTGCTGGAGACAGCTGCCGCGATCTGGGCTTGGCCGTTTCCTGCTCGCAACAGCTCTTCGAGGGTGTTCAACTTGTCCAAGATTGCCAGACTCGCGGAATCGAAGCTGCAGGAGTCAGAGACGGGTTCAAGCCATCAGCACGCCCCCCTCCACACACACATACGTTGAATGGTCTCCTTCAGAGTACGTGCATTCTGCACCAATGGACAGACAGGAGGAGCACGACGGCCGTGCGTTGTTGCATTTGGTCCGACGCACTCGACATTTCTGGCAGGCCTGGATGGCCCTCTTCCGGGGGTAGGATGATTTCCGCGCGGCAGGACGTTTCCGGGATTCAGTCAGCGCGGTTTCAGCCTCCAAGCTGCCGATGAAGGCGCCGTTCTGCTGGACGGCCGCCGGCAAGTGGCCTGTATGGAGCGTCGAGGAATCGTAGCTTGGCTCGTTGGAATGGAGGATGTTCCGAAGCGAGCTTTCCATTGCACGACGATAGGACGCTTTCTCCACCCGGTAACTGGGGATGAAGATCTGGGGAAGACGATGGAGAGAGGATGAAGTCCACGAGCGGAATGCCGGGCACTGATAAAGCCCTTCAGCGGAGTGCTGGACCAACCCACAAAGGGCGCCTCAGACACGTTTTTGTTGTGGAGGAGGATCTCGGGGCCACCACTCCACCCCCCGGTCGGCAGGCAGTCCCTCTGGGGGGCGTTGATAGGCTCCAACGATGCCGAAGAAGGCTGGTTTGCCTCACCATGTGCGCCCAGTCTTCTAGAAGCCTTCCGAGCCGAAAACCCACTGCATAGAGACACGAGCCGTGCGGATGACTGACCTCACCCGCATTGTACGGAGTCAGCAGGGGAGCATGCCAGAGCCTGTCACTGCAACACTGCTTTACCGCTTGGAGCCATGTCGACTCGAGCAGGAGTAACTCCACCAGGGCACGATTCCTTGCTCGTTTGGGCGGGGTAGCGCCTCCTCCTGCCCCAATGCTACCCAACCGTGTGCTAACCTCTCCGACGCGGCCTCCATTGGTAGGCGGAGTTCCGGGATACGAGGAAATCTACAGCTCCGGCAGGAGGTGTCGTGACTCAAGAAACACGTCTTGGGGTGGGATAGCTATTCCAGAATATGCATGGAACACGGAATGGTAGATCCAACGATATAAAGAAGGCCAGATTCCTCTGCAGATGAGTCGAGCTCGTCCTCCAAGGTGGATTGCTTGACCGCCATCACCCAGCATCCTTCACCGGCCCCGAGGCAAGATGGAGAAAGCCAGCATCCATGACGATACCAAGGCCATCGACTCGATCATTGAGCATGTTGCCCCAAAGATCGAGCAAGCCCGAATCGCGGCCGAGGAGGAGCACAATCTCTCGGTGCGGGAAGCCATCACGAAGAACAAGTCGGTGGTCTTCTGGTGTGTTTTCTTCGCCTTCAGTGGCGTCGCTTGGTAAGTGCTCGGATATCAGCTGCCGTATCACGGTAATCGAGGTCAGGCTGACCGACTTTTGCCAGGGGTTTCGACGCACAAGTCAATGGCGCCATGGTTTCGGTGCCACAATTTCGGTCCACGTTCGGGTATGTGCTCAGAGGCTTCGGCTGACGACTGTTTCCATCCACCTGCCACTGACAATCCGCCAGATATATGTTCATAAACGACAAAGGGGAGAGAGACTCAGTCATTCCAGCTTCCTGGCTCTCGGGCTTCAATAGTATCTCGAGCGTTGGACAGTTCTTTGGCGGGTTTCTCTGTTCATGGCTTTCCGACCGCCTAGGCCGTCGGTGGTCGCTCCTCGTCGGCCTGGCCCTTGTCTCTGGCGGCATTTTCGGTGAGGTGTTCTCAAACACTCGACCGGCATTCCTCATCGGCAAATTGATACTCGGTATCGGTCTGGGCTTCTACCTGACCATTGGTCCGCTCTACTGCTCGGAAGTGGCCCCCCTCGTCCTTCGCGGTATGATCACGGGTGGTATCAATTTCGCCATCGTCATTGGCCAGCTCCTGTCGAACGCTGTGATCAAGGGGTTTGGAGAAAGGACTGACCGATGGGCCTTCCGAGGACCATTTGCGATCCAGTGGTTGTTCGTTGGTAAGGGAACAAGTATGTTGATATGAGTTGCCATCTGACACTTTAACAGTCATCCTCCTTGTGGGAATCCCATTCGCACCAGAATCCCCTTGGCACTATGTCCGTCGTGGCCGCCTGGAAGATGCCCGACGCAGTCTGGAACGTCTCTATGGTAAGGACGTCGACGTTTCGCCCAAGCTCGCCATGATCATCCGAACGGTCGAAGAAGACGCCGAGCTCTCCAAGTCGGCGCGGTGGGACCAGTGCTTCCGCGGCACCAACCTCGTGCGGACAACCATCTCTGTCGGCGTCTTTGCGTGCCAGCACTTGTCCGGCATCGTCTTCGTGCTCGGCTTCTCCACCTACTTCTTCGAGCTCGCCGGCATTGAGACCACCCACGCTTTCGACCTCGGCGTCGGAGTCACGGCCTGCGGTGTCGTGGGCGTCATTATCTCTTGGGCCGCCATCAACACACTCGGTCGCAGAAAGCTGTTCGTCTGGGGTATGATCGGCATGACCATTGTGCTCGTGCTCATGGGCATCCTCGATGTTGTGCACACCTCCGCCGCCCGCTGGGTTCAGGCCTCGTGCACGGTCGTATATGCACTCATCTACCAGATCACCATCGGATGCATTGCATTCGCCTTGCTGGGTGAAGTTTCTACGCCGGCACTACGAGCAAAGACCGTGGGTCTGGCCACGGCCTGTCAAGCTGTGTTTGGAACCGTCATGAACATCGTGGTACCTTACATGGTCAACCCAGACAAGGCCAATCTCAAGGGCAAGGTTGGCTTCGTCTTTGGCGGGGCTTGCCTCTTGGGCACCATCTGGAGCTACTTCTACATTCCCGAATTGAAGGGCCGCACTTTCCAGGAGATTGACTACTTGTTCCAGCACCGGGTTTCACCGAGGCGGATGGGCAAGTACAATGTTGAAGATGTTAACGATGTTTGAGCCGGCAACGGATGCTATAGGATTCTAAAGGATATAGCGACACGGGGTAGAAATGTAATTACTGTACGGAGTACGGAGTAAGGCTAGACAAAGCCAGGATGGCGAGCGAAAGGGCTTGATCATTCTATTAAGTTAATACTTGTCAATGCTTCCCGTCTGATGCCATGTGGTTATGATAGAATTTACCCATTTCTCCTCGGTAATGTTGCATAGTGAGGACCATGATCGCACTTGTTGCGAAGCCCTCGCTGAAGACATTAGATAGAACCTGCCAACCGCTTGATGTGTAGTCCCACCAGTCTTGCCCCATCTTCATACCATGACATACCCCATATGTCCCAGCATCTCTACCCAGCACACAGGACAGTAGCCCCATCCCAAGCAGTAGCCTTATCAGCGTGGATAAGCCACTGAGTCAGTCCACTCTGTGCTAATTGCCTACGACTCCGGAATCAGCCACAAGGCACACCCGTGGGTACATCCCACACATTAAAACTCTTGAGGCGCCACATGTTCTTCACAGCCAGCCAGGGATACTCTGTACGGCTTCCCGAATCCCCCCCGAAATCTATTGTACTGCCTGGCCTCTGTGCCAATAGCACATGTTCTCGTGGTAATTTGGTGGCAGGACGAGTACCAGTATGTACAAGTACACCAATCTTGTGACTTGTCCTCAGGCTCTAATTAACCGGCACATTCTAATTTACTCGGTAAAGTCGCCTCAAAGTCCCCCGGATGCCCCCTGTCAGCCGACACCAGTCGTTAGTGGATAGCCTTCGTGAGCTATTCAGCCAGCTGACCGTTTATGAAGTCATAAATGGTGTGATTGCTGGTGATTGGAATCCCGAACCAGAAACCGTCTACTCTTTCTCGAAAGTTGCATTGCACTTGCATACCCTCCCTGCCTCTTCTGCTCCACGTTGAGTCCTTGCGAGGGATTAATTGATTATTCCAAATCCCTCTTTCTACCATCCCAGCTATGGCCCGTAGCGCAGGGACGCGCTGGGGAAGCCCCTGACCCTCCCAAGTTCAAGTCCAGCACAGTTCATGCAGCGTCAGCCGCCGGATCAGAACTGTGCTCCCCGCGACATCCAGAATCCTCATACGTACTACACAGTACGAGTACGAGTGCGACGTAACAGCATCTGCTCTTCCGAAGCGGTCAACCCCATTTGTCTGTCTGTCTGTCTGTCTGTCTGTCTGTCTGTCTGTCTGTCTGTCTGTCTGTCTGTCTGTCTGTCTGTCTGTCTGTCTGTCTGTCTG